GCATAAACTTCAGAAGCCTGTTGGGGATGTTTTGTATGAATAACACATGTTCGTTGAAAACAAGTGTGGCAGCTGCATAACTTTCTTGGGCAATTCCTTTCACTCCTGAATAATTTAAATATAGACTTTTAGGTTGTGGTTTTAAATATCAGCTGCTCTTTGGGCATGTGCTGGAAATAATTCTGCAGGAAAAAGTGCAGTTACATGTGTGCTGCATGGATGAAGTTCCTGTTTGTCACAATTATAACCATTCTTGCCCTGATGGCAGCTCTCTGGACAGTGTCTTCGAACTGGCTGTGTAGCTCTTTTAGTGGACAATAGGAACGCACATCAAGTAACTCAGCATGGCTAGTGAAGGACAATATCACACAAGATAAAGTATGATAAGGCAACGAAGTCTTGGGAGATGGAGGGATGGTGGGAGAGGGGATGAGGCAGAACATTGAGCAGAAAAGGATTGTTGATGAGATCAGGTAAAAAGTTAGATATAAACTGGGACCTAATTAAGGAGACTTCCTCAGTCCAGTGCTATAAAGGGACTGGCTTATAAGACACTAGGAACAAAGCATCATGGTTTCCTTGGTTTGAGGTCTTCTAGGGGTTCCATGAATGTACTTTTGCTGTGCTCCTGTGTGGAAAGAAAGCTGTAGGAATATGGCTTTTATTGTAGGCATTGCTCTAGTCATAAGTCCAGCCATAATATACATATATTGCACATGTATCTGGTTAGAGCTAACTTTCATACATTTTTGGTTGAGGCACCATAGTTGCAAAATTCTTCTCCTGTGCCTCCAAAATACACACAGACAGCGGTACCTTGGCTCACGAACTTAATCTGTTCCAGGACTCTGGTTGTGACTCAAATTGACCATGAGCCAAGTTAGATTTCCCCATAAGGTTCAATGTAAATAAGGTTCATCTGTTCTGTAACCATTTTTTTAAATGAGAAAAATGTGAAGAAAAGTGACAAAGAACAGCAAAGATTGCGGCCATCTCCCTGCCCCCCCAGCATGACCAAGATTGCGCCTGTCATCCCTGCACGAGCCCGTTAGCCTGACACGCTGGGGGGGGGGGCAGAGAGAGATGGGTGTGAACGGGGCATGCTGGGGGAGGGAGAGACAGACGCGTTCTCGGCCTTCTCCTCCCCCCCCAGCCCCCAGCATGATCGTGGCCATCTCCCCACTCGGGTTGGGGAGATGGCCGCAATCGTGCTGGTGGGGGGGGGGGGAGATGGCCGAGATCGTGCCTGTCTTTCCCTTAGGAGCGCACCCTTGATCACGCACGTCTTCCCTGCACGAATGCAACTGCAATCGTGGCCATCTCCCCACTCGGGGAGGGTGGGGAGATGGCTGCGATCTCGGTTGCTTCCCAATGTGGAGTTCACGACCCACATCAAAATTTTCATGACATTTTTTTGTTGCTGTTCCGATTTGGTCATTTACCAAGGTGTTCGTGAGCCGAGGTACCACTGTAGTATCTACTATTGTCTTATACTGGCAGCAAAGTTTGGGGAAACTTCATTCTGTTCTCCCAACTGCTTTGCCTATTTTATATATGTTTTAAAAATTGGTCATTTAACTGAATGGGTTGTTCTGTTGTGTTTAATTTTCAGTCGTTTACATTTGTTTTGTCTTATGGTGTGCACTGTTTGTTTGTATTGTAAAACACCCTAGCATACATATTATGAAGGATCTTACATAAATGACTTAAATATAAAACTGTGCCCATTTTCCGAAGCAGCAGAAGCATAGAACATGCTTCCTGAAGCTGTAAAACTGTCATTTTAACAGTTCTCAGTGTCATTTGCACCATCTACAGAAATGTCTACTGTAACTTATGGGGAAACTTGATATCCAAATCTGCATTTCTTAGTTTAGCTTCAACCCAGCAGGATTGCACTGCAGTTGGTTTGCTAAGGCTATACTCTAGAATTTTAGGTTCTAGAAGATAGCTGGGAACCTCTAATGGAATTCATATCACCCTCATAAAACTATAGTTCCCAAGATTCTTTTAAGGAAGTTATGGCAGTTAAACTGGTTTCTGTTTGCAGTTTGTTGCACCTCGTGGAAATCACTAGCTCATTGTTTAAAGTTGGGTCTCCCATTATGTATGTTTTTGAGCATTGTCAGCATGTCATTTGCTTATAGAAAAACAGATATCATCCATGTTAATTTTGATAAAATGTTTTTACTGCAAGGATGTTTTTTTCCAAAAGAAGAATTTTTCTCTTTTCTGCTGCTCCCACATTCCTCCCATTACCCTTGTTTAACACCAAAGACCAAATGGCCTGTGTTCTTGATTAAGGACTGTTAAGCAATTCAGTCAGCAAGCTCATGTGGAGTAGAACAGATTTTTGCAATGACTTAATTATGTCTGAAGAGGAAGATTTCTAGCCATTAATACTGAAAAGGTGAGAAAATGTGATTATTTTGATTATTCTGTGTTATTTCATTTTATTAGCATTAAACGTAGTTAAGAGATCCCACAGTTTGAGGTTCTATATGTTCAACAGGGAAACCATGGTTTAGAACAGCTTGTCTGGTTTCATTCCATCTGCTCAGCACAGCCTCAGGTTGATGCTACTTTGTTTGCAAAGGGTTAGAATTGTTCTGCATGGTCTACAAATGTTAAAAATATCTTTCAGAAACTTATTAGGATACCTTGGCTTACATTTAGCTCACCTGCTTTTTAGTGGAACTATTCTGATGTGTGTACATTTGTTCAGTATTGTGGGAGAGTATTACACATTTGGACCAGAATTTGTGTCTATGGTTTTCACTTTTGTTCTCTCTCTCCCCCAACACCCAATGGTTAAATATTTGAAATTCAAAAGAACATTAAAGAATGGCTATAATCACTATTAACTATGTTACTCATGATTAAATTAAGCAATGCATTAAAACTCATGCACTGACTATTTGGCAAATAGTTTGGAAAATAGCAGGCCCATTCATAATTTTAACAGTAGAAATTACATTGTGAATTATGTTACTGAAATACTCCAGTACTGTGAATGTTCACATCACTAAACAGGAAGTATAATAGGCTTAATATGGTTATGAAATGTTTAAGAATGTTATTTTGGAGGAATCTGAATGGTTTGAGAGTGAGCACCTGATCCTGAAGTGGGTATGGACCTGATTCCCTTGGATTGGAAGGGAATCATGTAAGAGCAGCAGTCTAATAAATATTTGAAAAGAAATGCGTTTGGCATGCTTGGTAGTATCAGTTCTGCTATTTTAGGCTGCTGGTTGTTGAATCTATATTTAGAGATCCTGTACAGTATATAGCAGTCTACTAGCAGCATATGAGTATGGAGAGAAGAGTCTTTTTGTGCTCTGTTGAATATAGGTCAGAGCTAAAAGGATTTTTCCTTGTTTTATGTACTAGACTTCTCAAGCGGTGGCATAGACTTAGATGTTATTTTTTGAATGTGTTGCATTTCTTGGCTCCCAACATTTTCCTCATGTTTGTCTTTTATGTTGTATTGTTCTGATTGTTCCAATATCTGCTCTGGAATAATTGATCTTACCTCTTCTCCTTTTTTATTGGTAACTTGGTTTGCAGAGTTATCTTGCCTAGTCTCTACTTTACCACCTTATTTCTGAAAAGATGGAAAGTAGTTAGTTGTTTGAAAACATACATGCCACATAAGACTTCTGGTTTGTACAGATAGAACAGGCTTTTTAGAAGGAAATTTTTGCCGGGTTTCCAAGCAGCAAGTGTTTTGATGCTGAGCTAAAGCAGGGAAATTTCTAGTGCTGATTAGTTAGCTCCATCTATACTTACTATAAGCTGGAGAACAGATTGGCTCTATTGATGGATTTTTTCCCCTCCTCTGATGACAGCATGAGGTGCAGAGTCAAATAATGACCTTTAGTTTATCAAGACTGTCATGCTATTTCAGGCACTTTGAATTATCAGTTATTTCATTATAGACCAATGAAAGGCCTGTTGGGTCCATCACCAGGTGATCAGTTATTTGGAAGTAACCATAAATCAGTAATGTTTCAGAATAGCAAGATTTCTCTGGCAAGATTCCTCTTCCCATGTCACTTCTGCCATATTATGACAAAATGGTGTGAATTGATGGTGAAATGAGGGAAATGTTTTCACAAATGCGATGTGTCACGCTTGGAACTCATACCTGAACCATGGCTTACATCTTGTATAAATAACATTGGGTGATTTGTGGTAGAATGGAAGGAGTGTATGATGCCTGGTGGTTTAACGATAGCAACAACATGAACAGTTCCACCTCAATTGTGCTGCTTAAATGATGGGTGTTTGGAGTAACCAGAAGTGAAGGGTGGGGGGAGTTTAGTTAGGATTGGGTACTGAAAAAATATTTCTCGGTTTGGAAAACCTCAGAAATACCACGTAGAGTGGAAGAAGACTATTTAAGCAGCCTGAGGTTGCTTTGTAAGCCACAGGAGGAAAAAAAGGTGGGATATAAATGTGCTATAATCATAATAATTATCTTTAATTATAAGTATGTCTTGGTAGTTGGCTCTGGTTGGTGGAGCTAGGAGCTTAGTAAAAAAAAAAAAAAAAAGATTTAACAAGCCTGAAGTCTACTTACCACTGATTTAATGGACACTGAATTAGTTCTAAGAATAAATAGTTTGAAAATTTGTGCATATACTCTATTGGAAATTGCTACAGAAAAGAGAAAACATACTTTTTCTTTTAGCAACAGACACACACCATCTTTCCTGCTGGAAATAGTCTATTGCCTCTTCTTCTTGTAAATCTAATGGTAGACTGACCACGCATAAACAGCACAGTAGGGCTCAATGGATCATTCAATATACTTTGTCTGTTTATTACACTAAGTAACTCTCATTTAACAGTGTTTGGAAACTACAAAAATCCTCAGCTTGTATAAGTATCCTGCTGTCAAGCAGCAAAGAATATTCTCTGTATGTGTATTTGTTTTTTGCCTTGCAGCCTGACTTTTTCCACCAACGATTTATTTTTTCTGTCCTCTTCCTTTCTAGGATGCGTCAGGATGAAACGCCACAGGCATCTAAGCAGCAGTGACAGTTCAGACAATGAAAGTAAGCATGATCTAGTCTTCCTTTGATCTGTCTCGTCTGCATGTGGTTTCTTCTGGTTTGAGGGCAAACTGTTATACCTCTTTTTATGGTTTAAGAAAGGCATGTTTTTTTTTTTAAAAAAAAATTCCCATTGAGTTTTTTCAGGTAGGTGCATTTTTTTAAAGATACCCTACATTTAGAAAAAGGATGTGGTTGTTCAATATATATTCTTAAACATTCTTTAGAATTGAAAGCTAGTGCAATTCTGATTCAAGAAATTAGAATGAGTTAGACTCAAGTATATGATCTTACCAGAGTCACATGCCTTAATTACATATTTGGATTATTATAAGACATTTTCTATGGAACTGCTTTCACAAAATGTTTGGAAACTTCAGCTTCTAATTTGTATCCTGGTGCAATTCATAAACTATAAAGCTCTTTCATCCTATAGATTTTATCTATGTTTTAGTGTATTTGTTTTATTATTTTATCCAAGTTTATGTTCTTACTTTTTAATTCCTATAGTTGTTAATTGCCTTGAGTACCATTTTACAGATCAGATTAATACTAGCAATAATACATGAATACACACCAATTTGAGACCAGTGTTCTAAGCTGATATACCCTGGTTGTGCTCTTCTACATGAAGATTTTTATGGCAGGCTTTTCATGATTTGGGATTAATATTGAATAAAGGACTCAGGTCTCAATAGGAGCTAAATATATAGAGCAGGGATAGATAGCCCAGTGCTCTCTGGACATTGTGGACTATAACTTCCATAAGTTTTATCATCGGCCATGCTGACTGGTGCTGATAGGAATTATAATCCAAAACTATTAGGAGTTATAATGTGGAGTTATAATATGGTGAGCACCAGGTTGCTTGCTTCTGATATAGCACATCTAAAATAGGTACCTTTTTGACTCCAGCTACCATATTTTAGTACTATTTACAGTTGCTTATCCTCATGTGAACTTAAGGTCTAGTTTACAAAGGAGCATCTGCGTTAGGCACACTGAATGTCCTAAAGTCTGTGCATCTGCTGCATAACTGTGTGGTGGCAAGCTCTGCAGGTATCCCTGCCAAAGATGCCCTGATCTATTCCTTTTCTTTCCTTCCTCTCTTGCTGTTGCATTTTCAGCAGTGTTGCACTCTTCCAGCCACAGAGCTAGCTGAGAGTGGGGAAATGCAGCCACAGTAAGAAAAGGGGTTGAGGGAACTGATTTTCATTGTTCCTACTTTCTGACTGCTGAAATAGAAAAAGCAGCATTGCCGGGTGGAGAAGTGTCTTTTCCCTTGCTAGGAATGTTGGGCAAGGGCTTGAACATGGTCTCTTGACAGCAAACTCAGATATTTATGGAATGCAGTGCATAATAAACAGCAGGTGCAGTGGGCACATGCACCGCTAATGTGGCATCAGGACAGTGTGAGCTCAACTGTGCTTTGTGGAACCTGACTTCTAGTGCTACTTTGCATATAATGACAGCCTAGATTACAGTGCTGAGTTATGAGCAGGTTTTGAACAGCCTATGCCAGCTCAAGAGCAGACTTCTAGGTAGGGGTTCTAACCACCACATTTTGGAGAACTGCCAAATGTAGTCCCCTTTACCTGTTCTTGTTTGCTTTCCCTCTCTCCCCCATCAGTGTTTTACTCATTTTCCCCCTGTGCCGTTTTCATTTCTTCCCACAGACATTGTAGCCCCACTGGCTGAAGCATTGCTCTTCAACATGTCCCTCCCATCTATCAAGCAGGTTTAAAAAAACATGGACAAGTTAGTAGGAAAGCAAGCACTGAGCAGAAAGGGGGGAGAGTACAGGGGAAAGGAGGAACAGAAAAAGATCACTTCACAGGAGGAATAGGAAATGAAACATAGGTGTGAAGATGTGCCTCCCAGGAGGAAGGGGTGTGTGTGTGTGTGTGTGTGTGTGTGTGTGTGTGTGTAGGCTTCCTGGCTCTGCCACTGGACCCACCATGCTGGCTAGTTGACTAATACTGATCCTTCAAAAGCCGTTATGATTATTTTTGGAATTCACAGTCTGTTTATCACAGATAACCTTGTGTCAACTTCTGCTGGTATGAAAAGAAGGGAAAGTCAGAAACCATTTATTTTGGAAGGGATCTGTCTACTTCAGCCTTTTATAATGGGAATGTGTATATAAATCAAAGTTGAATAAATTAGTTGTGTCACTACAGTTGCACACGTGTGTGTGTGTGTGTGTGTGTGTGTGTGTGTGTTTTGGCTCAGAATAAGTGTGATTACATCTGCAGGCAAAAGTTGTTGGTTGTGACTGAATCAGCCTCAGAGACCATTCTAGTATCTGATCCTCCATAATGTTAGGAAGCTTAAAATACTCAGTTACAGAAAGCTTTTAATTCTCTGCATTTTTGTTACTGTTCATATAGGTCCATCTACTTCCTTTTCGTTTTGTTCTAAGTATAGGAGCAAATCAAAAGCACCAGCAAATGAGCAAAAGAAACCTGCTGAGGTAAGAATTGTTTTCAGATTCCTAAAAACTGGATATGTCTATGATCACTGTTTACCAGCATAATTGTTTGGAAGTTTTCCATTTCCCACTTAATTTTCTTTTTACAGTGGGATCTACATTGGCAAGAGTCAGTATGTAATCTGTTATGATTTATGTATGATTTGTACATTTCATTTGAATATGCTGAGAGTTATGCCAAGGAACAATACTTTGCAACTACAATTATCCTGTTGCACTGCCACCATTTATTTGTTGGAGCTCATTTTTGCTGCTTTTCCTGAATTCAAAATATGCTGTACAATAAACATGTATTTCAGCATCAATTTTCAAAATTTAAACATGTCAGCCATCACACAATATCCTCCAACTTAAAGAGAAAGAACAGCAAACTTTTCAAAACAAGGTCTAGCCAGTCTGAAAGCCAATCTGACACATGCCTTATATAGTTGTTGGTTTCATGGAAAGCTATTTCATATTTGAATTTAGTCAAGAGGAAGTTACTGTCCCAAACTATGAAATGTAAGGGGCAAGTTCAAACTTTGTTGATTTCAATAGGATTATGCTAAAAGGTTGTCTTTTTAGAACAGCCAGTGTTCACACTATTTCCCTTTAAAGAGATGAAAATAGGAAGACTTGAGTTTTTGTACATATTTGATGGCAGCCATTGTGTTTTATGATTAGATGCTGTGTTAAAAGTAGGATTTATATGAGGTAAGGTCAGTTCCAGACAAACAGAGATCTCAGTTTACCAAATGTCATTGAGAAAACTTGCCCCCCTTTTCCCTTTCCTGTTCCATTAAAATAGGAATGGGTACTATGTGGCCTTCTAGATATTACTGGATTGCAACTGCCACCAGGGAGTCAGTCTAGATGATATATGAAATGTTTGCATTTTTAGTGGGTCATCTTTGTACCCTAAAATAAATCCCAGAGGGAAGTCATCATGTTTGTGTAGCATGGGGAGAGGGGGAGTTAGTTCTTTTCTCCCTCATGCCACAGCCCCAGCAAAAATTCCTCTCACTTGTAACTACCACTAACACTGCAACACTGTGCACACTTAAGTTATTTCTTCTGTAGGACTCAGTTTATTTCTGTGTAAAAATAAGATCAGTCCGTAAGATAGGTTAGTTTTCTTTTAAACTTAACAGAGAAAATTAAACAAAACAAATTTGAAAGCATTGCAATGTGAAACAGTTTTTGAAGAACGAGGCAACAAAATATTTTAGAAGGGTAAGGTTTACTTTTCGTGTGGTTTATCAGTTTTCGTTGGTCAAAATCCAAACCTTCTCTCACCAGACGGCACCTTTGCTTGGCCAAGGCAGCCAATTTCATCACATTCCCTGCCTTTCTGAAGGGTCACTTAATCCTCAGTACTGACTTTAGGAAGGACACAGGGGGCTTTGGTGGAGAGGAGAGTGCTGAAACTGCCCCCACCCCATATACCTCTTGGATATTTTGCCAGTGTATTTTGTTGGATGAATTTCTCACTGCAGATTTAGAGTTGCTTTTTAGGAGAATTGCTAAACAAGTTGCAGTTGTGTAATTCATTCAAAATATTGGTTAGAGCTACCCATTCCCCAAGATATGTAAAAATATTTGTTGAATGCCTAATGTGATTAGGTTTAGTTGTGCAAAGATGAAATGCAGATGAAGGTAGGACAGAACAGTGATGGGTAAGTGTCACATTTGCCTTTAAGCTGTATTGAAAAATGCAGGCTTACCCAGGACCTGTTTTCCTCTTTGAAATCTTTGAGTTGTTCCCCAAATAATTAAAGTGAGTAATCCCTTGCTCCTAGCTGCTGAATTGAGATTAACTCCTTACTAGCAATTTTAAGGTTGACAGTATTTAAAGGAAAAACTTGCAAAGATTCTGGAGTGGTTATAAGAAAGTTTCATGTTTAATGGATTAACTCTTTGAATGTCTTTCCTTTCTCATACCTCTCCCCACTGCCCAGTTGAGCAGGTATTTCACTTTCTCGTTGTCCCTTACCTCAGTGGTAGGTTAAAAGATATCAGGATGTTTGGATTTCCAACTCACAGCATTACTCAACTAACATTGGTAGGGGCTTCTGGTAGTGGATGTTCAAACATCTGGAGATCTACCTTCTGCTGCTCCCTTAGAATGATCCCCTGTAGTTACTTGGACTTACCCCAAGTTTAGAAGTTGGCATTGTCTTCTGTAGATATTTCAGTATTACACATTTGGGGACATCCTGTTTTCAAATAACTGTGAGTCGCCCAGTGCATGTTTTACTTTTTAGGAAGGACGAAGGAAAATAAAGCTTTCTGCTTGCTTGATACAGCTATGGCAGCCCATGAACTTGAATACTTTAGAGATTATGTTGAAAATGGCACATTTATGTAAGAACAGTGTGATTCTCTCCCTTAAACTTATGGGTTGCTTTGGTGAGTACAGGTCTGACAACTGTTTCACACAGCCTCTTGGATAATTCAGGAATAGTGAAAACAAACTGTTGTTTGAGGTGAAGGACAATATGCACCCCCTGCCATTTCACATTGAAAGGATATAGTACAGGTCTTAGTACAATAAGGTTTTATAGTTAAAGAAGGAAAAAAGGTCTTTTCCCAAGTTGCTTTTTATCCTGTTTGCAGGTGTTTCGAAAGGACCTCATTAGTGCCATGAAGCTGCCAGATTCTCATCATATTAATGCGGATGAATATTACCTCTTCGCGGATACATGGAAACAAGAATGGGAAAAGGGCGTTCAAGTCCCAGCCAGTCCAGATACCATTCCACTGCCCTCTCTCAGGTAATTTTTATGGAATAGTTCTCTGGACTGGATCTTTTTGCTTCTGTCCCAAACCAAAATGCATATGCTGCCCATTTACCCTGTGCTGCTGTCTGTAGCCTCTAACTTAGACTTAGTCATCCTGCGTAGCAGCATGTAACATTTGTAGCTTCAGTTTATGGCATACAGAAGAAGACCCGAATAAGAAGTATAAAGCAAGAAACTGAATATTAATGCTGTGAGATTCCTATGGTACATGGTCAGAGCCATTTGTGGCCCATGATTGGTTTTGTTATTTGAAATGGTTTTTAGATTAGATGAGCATGTGATTTTTTTTAAAAGTACTAATCTTAGGTGTATGATAAGCAAATATATCTCATCCATGTATTTCTATTATTGAGTTTTAATTTCATTTTAAAAGGTATTGATTGTGCGGCTAGCAGTTCTTCGTCGTGGCCTCTGTGCATCACACATATGGGTGCTGCGCCTGCGCAGTGCCTATGGCTGGGAGACTGATAGCTAACGGTTTCGGTGGGAAACTCCGCTCCCCTCCCCACCCAGTAGTATATATGGAGTGGAGTGTCCGCCATTTTCCAGTCTTTGCGACCGCTGTTCATTGTGCCTTGTGTTGCTTTCATCTCGCTAAGATCGTTTCTTGTTCTTTTCCACTTTTGCGATTTCTCTTTCTCCTTTTTCCAAGTTCATATTTCCGCATCCTTATTGCTCTTGATAGTGTTCCTTTTAGTCTCTTCGTTCCTCTTCTTCTTGTTTTCTAAAAAAACAAAACAAAAACAAACCCAAAAATATTATCTACTCCCTCTGCACTATCTTCTTTTTTCTTTTTCTGCGATGGCGCAACGAGCAGCTTTCCGCAAGTGTGTAGAGTGCGGCTCTAAGATGCCCGTGGCGGACCCGCACGACCTGTGCCTCCTCTGTTTGGGGGAAGGTCACAGAACGGACAAATGCAGCCATTGCCTGGCCTTTTCGAAGCAGGCCAGGAAGAACAGGGAGAATCGCCTGCGTAAAATTTTGTGGGACCAGGCTCTCCTACAATCGGACTGGCTGGTTGCTAAGTCCGCTTCTACTTCAGCTGACCCTGCCCGCTGTCCAACTCCGACTGCTCTGCCGCAATGTCCGGCTTTTTCCTCAGCTGCTCCGCCCTCACGCCCTTCGGACAAAGGTGTTTCCATTATGGGCGATCAGCCTGTTTCCCCGTCTAAAAAGGAGCGGGAAAAGAGGAAACACAGCGGCTCTGAATAGCCGTCTGTTCACAAGAAGGCCAAGAAAGATAAGGCTGAAAAGCCTGCTCGGACACCTAAAAAACCTGAGCATACCAAACACCGACACTTGGGTTCAGCGGCGTCTTCGGTCCTGACTGCTGTCATGGTACTGACACCCTCAGGTCCGAGGATCCACCCCGGGGTTCGATTTCCGACGGCGAGATCCAAGATTCCCCGCCTAGGGCTAGGTCTCCCACGCCTATGCCCCCAGTGTGCTTGGATGCCGAGACCGGGATGTCTCCTCCGAGGAGCCATAGAAGCCAATCTTCCGATGGCCAATCCTACGACTGGTACCACTCCCGATATTCTTCTGTTCCAAGATGGGGAGACTACCAATCCGTCAGCTACTATCCGGCTTCTCGAGACCAGCCTTCTCCACCAGCTCCTCGGGATCGTTTCACTTCCCAGGCTCCTCGGGATGCTCCACCGGCACCAACTAGGAGGACGGTAGATCAGTGTCGCCAGGAGATTCTTCTTCCAGCCTTCCAGCTCCCTATTGGATGGACTTGGATGAGTCCGAGGTTGATTCGACTTCACCTGATGCTGCTGTCACATCTCAGGGCCCCGGATCACCAGAGGAGCCGCACATCTCCTTTGCAGAGTTGATGTCCAGGCTGGTTCGGTCACTGGACATCGAGGCTCAGAACAGCCCAGTCTCAGCACCGATCGGTTCTACGATGTGGTCCGGGGTGAACAATCAACTTCCATCGCCTTGCCGCTTATTACAACTCTGCATCAGGTGATGACCCAGCCATGGGACCTCCCAGCTCACCCTCAACTGACATCAAGGCAATACAAAGCCATGTACCGGGTTCGGGAGGAAGACATCCCGTTCCTCCTACGTCACCCTAGACCGAATTTGGTCATGGTTGAGTCTTCTCAGGGCCAAGAGGCAAGGGGTCACACCGCGCCCCTTGACAAGGAAGGGAAGAAGATTGACTCCCTCGCACGCTGAGTCCATGCGGCCTCTGGACTCGGCCTGCGAATCTCCAGTTATGAGGCGACATTGGCGTGCTACCAATATTTTATAATGCAGCGCCTGGACAACATCATTGTCACTCTCCCAGACAACCAAGGCAACCTTGCAAGGGTTTTCGTAAATGAGGCCATGCAGGTCGCAATACAACAGCTCTCCACGGCCAGACACCATGTGGATACCGATTCGAGGGCCTTAGTCAGTGCCGTATCCCTCCGGCCACACGCTTGGTTACATAATTGCAACTTTCTGGAGGAGATAAAGAGAAGGATTGAGGAGATGCCCTTTGACGGGTCCGGCCTCTTCAATGCAAAGACTGACCACAAGTTGAAGAAGATACACGAGTCTAGGATGATGGCTCGATGCATGGAGATGCAGCCTCAGCCTAGACGCAAGTGGTCTTGGACCTGTCCACAATACCGACAGCAATATCAGCCCCGACAACAGCCACAGCACCGCCAACAATGCCACAGACAACAGCCGCCTCAGCTATTCTGATAAGGCCGCCGCCATTTTGATGGTGACAAGCGCCAATGCTGATGGGCTGGGCGAACCTTTCCTCTGCTCCCACTCCCACCTTTCCCTCTCTCATTTGGGGACTGGCTGAAAGGCCGACTCCCCATTTGGGAGTCCATCAGATCTGATCAGTGGGTGTTATCCATCATTCAGCATGGATATCGAATAGAATTCAACATCGTTCCACCATCGAGTCTGATCCGGTTTACTCTATGCTCGCCGGTATTGTTGGACGAAGTTCACCAGCTCCTTTGTAAAGGAGTGGTTCGTCGTTTGTCTCGATCTGAAGGACTCCACGGATTCTATTCTAGATACTTTACGGTCCCAAAAAGGGATGGAGGTCTCTGACCAGTATTGGATCTAAGAGCTATTAATAGATTTATAACACCAAAGAAATTTCGGATGACCACCCTTCATAACAGTCTACCGTTGCTGAGGAGAGAGGACTGGTTTGCCTCATTGGACTTGAGGGACGCCTATTTCCACATTTCAATCCATCCATGTCATAGGCATTTCCTCTGTTTTGCCGTTGCTTCTGAAATCTTTGAATTCACGGTGCTCCCGTTTGGACTGGCTACGGCCCCGAGGGTCTTTACAAAATGCGTGGCTCCGGTCTGCGCATATTTCCAACTACGTGGTGTTCAAATATACCCCTATCTCGATGATTGGTTATTAGTCTCTCAGACCAGAGAAGGACTTTTTTCCTCTATACATGTGACTTGCACCCTACTGCAGGATCTTGGACTTTGCATTGACCTTGAGAAATCCTCTCTTGTTCCTGCACAGATTACCAATTTCATCGGAGCCGGTCTGGATTCCATGGTGGCAAAAGCATTCCTTCCGCGAGACAGACAGCATACTCTTGTTTGTCACATCCATCCAATGCGACGGGACGGTTCCTCCCCTGATCTGTCCAAAGACTCTTGGGACACATGGCCACATCGGTCGCTGTCATTCCAAATACCAGACTTCGACTTCGCCCTCTCCAGCTCTACTTCAACAAGATGTTTCAACCACAAAAGGACTTGCCTACGAAGTTAATTCGGCTCCCATCTTCTGTTCTACAATCTCTGATATGGTGGACAGTTCCAGCCAACTTAAATATTGGGGTTCCGACCCTGGTGCCCTACAGTGACTCTCAGTACCGATGCATCCCTGCTCGGATGGGGAGCAGTGTGTTCAGATCTACGCATTCAAGGTGTTTGGAATTGACAGGGGTCCAAGAATCATATCAATTTCCTGGAACTTCTGGCAGTATTCAAGGCCCTACAATCATTCGAGGACGTTCTTCGGCACCGAGTTGTTCAGATAACCTCGGACAACATTGCTACAGTCTTTTATCTGAACAAACAAGACGGGACAAAGTTGCCCACCTTGGCTTGGCTATCGATACAGATATGGAACTGGTGCATCCTGAGAGACATTGCTCTTGTAGCAGTACATCTAGCCGGTACGGACACTGTCGAGGCCGATCTAAGCGGACAAATGCTGAGTTATCTAATAACTCAGCGAGAGGGCACAGTTCATCACCCGAATTTAACATCGCTGAAATTAACAGCCTGGTGGATTCGATAACTGTCGGTACTGACTCGGTACCAACAGCGTCTACCTCTTCCATGGATCGTGTCCCCGGATCCGACACTCAAATCGAGGCTTCGAATCCGTTGCTTTTCCCTGCTTCATCGGATTCGACGGTTTTCCACCCGGAGCTTCAGAGCATTCTTGAATCTGCATTAAGACCGTCAACCTGAAAATCATATGCGGCAAAGTGACGGCGATTCTCTACTTTTGCCGAGTCTCGTTCGTTTCTTCCATATTCAGCATCCATAGTGAATATTCTTCAGTTCCTCTTAGAACTCCACCATTTAGGACTTAAACCATCTTCCATAAAGGTGTACATGGCGGCAATTTCTTACTACCGTGGTACAATTCAGGGATCCTCCATTTTTTCTCAACCACTGATAAAGAGATTCCTTAAAGGGCTGCATAACCTCCATCTGACGATCAGACCAGTTATGCCTACTTGGAGTCCTTCAGTGGTATTACAAGCACTAACCAGAGCTCCATTTGAACCTTTGGCGACTATTGATTTGCGCTTTGTTTCTTGGAAGACGGCATTTCTTGTAGTGGTTACATCAGCTCGAAGAGCTAGTGAGCTCTGTGCCCTCAGGGTAGACCTTCCCTATTTGAATTTCCATAGGGAGAAAGTTGTTCTGCGAATGGATCTGTCTTTTCTACCGAAAGTGGCTACTACTTTCCAGTTGAGTCAAGAGATCGTCTTACCTGCTTTTTTTCCATCTCCATTGAATCTGATTGAGAGATCCTTCCATGCTCTCCACGTCCGGCGCTGCATAGCCTTTTATAGATCAAGGACTGAATCTATCCATTGCTCCAGTCGGCTCTTTGTTAAATACTCTGAGCAGGACCAAGGTTCTCCTGTTACCCCTCAAAGACTCTCCAAATGGATAGTTCACACTATAACTTTGTCCTACCAGTTGGCTAAGATAGACTTACCTACAATCCCAAGGGGTCATTCTACGCGAGCAGTAGCTGCTTCTTCAGCCTTCACAGTGGGGGTCCTGATAGACGATGTCTGCAGGGCGGCCACCAGGGCCACTCCATGCACATTTGCTAAACATTATTGTTTGGATGTCCGTGCGAGACAGGACTGTTCCTTTGGCAGAGCTGTTCTTTCAGCTGTTCTTCATTGATGACACCTCCCCTCCTCCAGTCAGGGTAAGCTTGCTAATCTACCCATATGTGTGATGCACAAAGGCCACAACGAAGAAAAGCAGGTTGCTTACCTGTAACTGATGTTCTTCGAGTGGCCATCTGTGCAGTCACACAACCCACCCGCCGGCCTCGCTTGGTGTCGATGGGTGGAACTTGTTATTGGTACCATACTGGTCTTTATTCTCGGTACCTTCACCGTATTTCTTAACTTGTCATCGGTACCTACAATGTTTTTCCTTAGTTTAAATTTTTTCTCTAGAGAGCGAATGTCCGGTCTATCAAAGACTGGAAAATGGCGGACACTCCGCTCCATATATACTACTGGAGGGGGAGGGGAGCGGAGTTTCCCGCCAAAACCGTTAGCTATCAATCTCTTGGCCATAGGCACTGCGCAGGCACAGCACCCATATGTGTGACGGCACAGATGACCACTCAAAGAACATCAGTTACAGGTAAGCAACCTGCTTTTTTACAGTGCCTCATACCCAAATCTGAATTAGGTAGCTGAAGGAAAAAGGGTTGCCAAATTATATGTGCCTATGCAATAAATTGATACCATGCACCTGTGAATAAATCGCAGTTTTCTGTTCCTTTTATATATATCAGTTTGTGTGTAGGCCTTTCCTTATTTGGTTCATTCATGTTTTGCATCAATAGTCCAGTAGAACATTTCCAGTTTAATGCAAGTCAGGCATCTGCAAGCATGATGGCAGTCAAGCCTTTATGTTAAAGGTGTTTGTTTTCATCTTAGGAGTGAACTCTGCAATTTCAAATCCATCTTTCAGTTATTTCACATCGTGTAGAAACAACTTGATTCCAAATGTTCACAGCTATTGGAAATAATTGCCAAAATGTATATATTAGGGCACCAGGCTGACCACGTCCTCTATAGCACAATGTTGAAAGAGATTTGTTAATGTGTATTTTAGTTGGGATATAGTGTAACTGGTGAATTATCTTCATTATAATGTCCCTTATTTGTGCCAAGAGATGGGTGGGATAGACCAGAGTTAGAACCACTGGTTTTCATCTTCTCGAGGGGGGGAGCATAATGCATTGTGTGGTGGTGTTTCTTGTGCATTGGCCATTCGAGCACAGCAGAGTGCTACAAAAAAAGTTTTAACAGTCCCAACCAAAATAGTACATTTTTTGTGAAATCAAGAAAAAGTCTGTTTTACTTCATTGCATGCAAAACAGGAAGGTACTGAACTTAAAACTTCTAACTATAGCTGGATTTATCACCAGACACAACTTATATCTCAATGTTAGTTTGTATAATTCCTCACTCATCCCTGAGTTTTTATTTGTAAGGTGAATATGTTTAAAGTGCTTTATAATAAGACAGTTTTCAATTAATGTCAGAATATTTAAACCTACTTTCTTTCTATCTAGATGTGTTGATTGAATTCTCTGTTCACAAATGATATTCTTTAATTCAGTATAGCAAAAAGTTAATTATACTTTAATTCACTGATTCACACCCATCGTCACTGAATTATTGTAATTTGCTAGTGGATTTCTAGAGGACTCCTGAAAGAGATACATCACCAAGACCAATCATAAAACCTTGTCTCAAATCTGAGCTTGTTTTTATTTATATAAAAACTGTTGACTTGTAGTGACCTATAGAAGCCATACGTATTTTTGTCCTAAATATGTGAGTGTTTTGCCACTGTTGAATGAAATTACCATAAATGGAGAAAAAAATATTTATCCATGTAGTGGTTTTCACAGTAGGAAAGAGGCTGTTGCAGGTCAGATCAGTAATTGATTGATCATGTTCTCTTGCAGTACTCTGAACAATTTGAGATTGTGCCTCCTCCTCTTTTTGACCTAAAGGTACCGTATTTTTCTGTGTATAAGATGATACTTTTTCTTAAAAATATTAACTTCAAAATGGAGGGGCATCTTATACACGAGGGGCAGAGAGGAGAACTGGGGTAGGTGGGGGGACAGCGGACATGGCAGCAGCTTGCTCGCTTGCTCGAAGATAGGTAAGAAAAGTGGGGTGCGTCCTATACATGGGGGTATCTTATAGACGGAAAAATACGGTACTTGAAACCTGATACATTGGTGTCACGCTTGATCTTCCATTTTTCAATAATCTAGATGATTAGAAGGAATTAGGTACATGGAATATTGGTTATTGCAACTTGTAGAAGTATTGTTTGATCACAGAACTTGTAGCTAATTTTAATGCTCTGTCATTTAGAGTTGTAGCAGAAAAAGTAAAGCAGGTGCTATATACAAGGCCTAGAAAGTACATTCGTTGTTCAAGTCAAGAACCCACTGAACCTGGTTACATCAACATCTTAGAATTGGCGGAATCTATGTGCCGTTATGACTTGGATGACATGGACATCTTCTGGCTTCAAGAAGTAAATGAGGAACTTGCTGAAATGGGTGAGAATGCTGAAAATTAGTTTAAAACACATTACACAGAATTTTCAGTTAATTGTGGTTTTTGAAACTTTAGGGGTTTTTTGCAAGTTGGTGTTCAAGTTCTTCTGAAGTATCTTTTCAGATAGATCTTGACTGTACCTAATTATTTTTGAAGCCTTATGAGATTTTAATGTGTTTTATAAGATTGATGTGAATGCATGAAACAGATTTCCATGCTTATTCATTTGAAATGAATTTTGCTTCCCGGCAAAATGCACATTTTTATGCTAGGATTTTGGGAAAAATAAAAGACTTCTTCCTGTGTTGTTCCCAAACAGATTGCACTCCCTTAAAGATTGCCCCATTCTCTTGGCTTTTTAGAAACTGTGTGACACTACATCTCTTTAACTTGGGCCTTTCACATTATCTAGCTTCGATGTTAAAAGGTTTTACAGTTTTTAATGTTCTTATTTTTATCATGTTAAAGTTCATTCACTTGAAAACACTAAGATCCATCTTGATTGCTTTTTAGCAAATATGGGTTTCTCGAAATGTTAATAAGAATAGCAATGTAGGTCCTGTTTGTATGTAATGACAGCAAGGCAGAAGCCACCTTTGCTTTGCATAATCAGTCTCTTATTTTCATGTCATGATTGTGTGATCTGCAACCCAGGGTGCTATGGATTATTTGTGGTAAACATCTTAAAGTTAACCTAAGAATTAATCAGTGGTTAACTGTAGGTTATTTAAGCTAAGAAATACCCATAGTCTGGGTTCACAGGACATCTCGGGTAATTATGGTGAGCTGATATATAGTCTGAACTGCTGGGTGGTTATCTTTTAGCATCAGGCTGCTCTCACAACCCATAGCTAGTTGCATTTGTTACCTAAAACACCTCAGGCAAGGAAAAAACTGCATGTGAAAAGCCCTTGTTCTACCTGAATGTTTCCCTCAGGAGATTTTAGTCAACATAAAAATAGCAAGTACAGTAATTTAAGATTTACATTTTGCTGATGCTGTGCATAACAATAATGATCTGGAAAACATCAGATGCTTAACCTATTGCCCTTTTCTCTGTATGATAATAATTTGGCCATAAACTTGGGAAAAGCATTAAAAAGCTTTCCTTCAAGGGTTTTAATCCTGTTTGTTGGAGTTTTTAGATCAGAATCTTAGCTTTCAAAAGAGACTGTGATAATTTGCATTTAACATGAGATCCCAGTTATTTTACCTAGCAAATGCATTCTAGATAATAAACCCTTAAAAGCAGAGATGAAACTTCTGAAAGCCTAATGGAAATGCATAGGAGTGTAGACACAGAACACAGTTCCAATAGTATATTTCTTTTCAAAATTACTGTTAAGTATTTTTTTCCCTTCTGTGTTTTTTTTCTTTGTGTAGCATTAAGCAAATAATTTTGCTTTCATACACTTTCAGGATGTGGGCAGCTTGATGAGAACACAATGGAAAGAATGGTAGAAGTCCTTGAACGTCACTGCCATGAGAATATGAACCATGCCATTGAGACAGAAGAAGGGCTGGGAATAGAATATGATGAAGATGTCATTTGTGATGTTTGTCGGTCACCTGACAGTGAAGATGGGAATGATATGGTGTTTTGTGATAAATGTAATATCTGTGTCCATCAGGTTAGTGCAAAGCTGCTTCATTTTGGTAATGGAGTTGATTTTGAATGCGTTTCCAAATAGGTGTGTTGGGAGGCTATTGGAAACAATTTATTGGAAAGCTTGCTTTCCACTAGCCTCTGAAAGTGAGATCTAGAATTTTTATTCTCTCTAAAAGTCTGTGCAAAGGCTAAAAATGTAAATATTCTGGAGAAACTACAGTATTTTCATTCTTTGTGTGCTAGCTTGTCAATCAAGGTATTAAGACTTACCTAACTTAAAGGCAAGGATTTAAAAAAAAATCCACAGATTTTAAAAATACAGTGCACAACTCTGCCAGGAAACTTGAGATCAGCCAAAATAAATTTCTTGTTTGTGTTATAGTACAGTTGCGCTCTTTTTCCAGAAAATATGACTCTTCATTAGACATTGCAATTACACATGCTGAAGAAATTTTATTATAAAAATACAGCTTCTGAGGTCATGCTTCTTAAAAATTAATTTGTAAATTGGCATTTTAGAATAGAATAAGGATTATGTCCATCTCTTAAACACATGAAGGTAATATATACACATGCCATTCTTAACATGTAGGTTAAAAATTCCCATGATAACATTTGTCCTGAGCAATGTGTTCTGAGATCATATAAATATTGATCAAGGGGTGTTAGAACGTTTTTGAAGTATCTGGGAGTTGGCATCTTCATATAAAGTTTCATCGTCTACTCTTGAAGAGAAGTGATAAATGGAGCCAGTTAATAAAACAGAGTCTTCAGAAGATGCTTTTCTTTGAGTTTCCTATGAGAGAAAAAAAATGGAGCAGAGGAAAATGTGTTCTTGAAAGTCATAAAATGATTTGGGTTCATGACAGTGTAACACTTACAGTGAAAGTGAGAGCAATACTTTGTATTATTATGTTAGTTGCGAAGTCATGTCCCCATGGACAACATTCCTCCAGGCTTTCCTGTCCTCCACCATCCCCCAGAGTCCACCTAATCCTTTGTATGCAGAAGAATAATTTAAAATGCTAAATTTCTTGCCTAGGCAAGAGTGCACTCTGCTGGATTCATCTGGAATGTTTCAGAAATAAGTTGACTTTTTCCTGGAGCCTTCATTATTAAGATCCATACGGACACCTTTCTAGGTCATGCTATACTATAACTAAATACTCTGTATCTGGATCAAATGCTTATATAAAAAAGAAACTGACTCTGTACAATGGTACCTCGGCTCATGAACTTAATCCTTTCCACGACTCTGGTCGCGACCTGAATTGGTTGCAAGCCAAATCAAATTCCCTCGTAAAGTTCAATGTAAATAAGATTAATCTGTTCTGTAAATATTTTTTTAACCACAAAAAATGGAAACAAAGTATCAACAAAGTACAGTAGAGTAGAGAACACTAACCTAGGTGGTGGGGGGGAGTTATTGTTTGGAGGGAGAGTCCAAACGATAATTGTGCGATAGCGATTGTGCTCAGGAGGGGGGGAAATGGCTGTGATCACGATTGTGCTTGTGCAGTGAAGATGGGCACAATCGTGGTTGTCACCTGATGTGGAATTCATGACCTGAGGCAATTTTTTTCTGAAATTTCTGTTTGCAACCCTATTTGTTTTTATATGGCAATATTATAGAGAGAGGTAGGGACAGAGCTTGTGACCCCATGGGACACTTTCGTCTGATCTGGGACATTTGGATTGGTGGTTTTTGCAGAAAATCCCTGCATTGCACTATTAAGAAACAGTGTTGAACTTCTTTGCTTTGCTAAGCAAAACAGGATATTATGTTCCTTCTGTTTCAGACAGCTAAGAAATCTCTTCCAAATTTAATTTAGGATGTAAAGGTTAAAATTAAGGATTGGCAATCCCTTTACTGGTGGATTCATACAAAAAACTAATTTGCTTTCATCCTGCAGGCATGCTATGGTATCCTAAAGGTTCCTGAAGGGAGCTGGTTGTGCCGTACTTGTGTTCTAGGTATACATCCTCAGTGCCTCTTGTGTCCAAAGAGAGGTGGAGCTATGAAAGCAACGAGAACTGGTACCAAGTGGGCACATGTGAGTTGTGCTCTCTGGATTCCAGAGGTATGGATAACTTTGTAGTAATCATCACTGTTTATTATCAAGGTCCTGTACCTACTGCAGTCTGTATTAGGTTGGCCAGAAAGATTAATCTGCTTGAAAGGAAAAGAAGCTATTTTGCGATACAGAACCCTGAAAATTTGTGGGAGAGTCAGATTGTTCCACTAACAATTTTTTTCTTCCCGAACTTCCTTGTATTAGAACCTGAAGAAAGAGTTACTCCAGTGAGTACAAGAGTTGGTCATCCATGATTAAAGGAGTCTGTGGAACATTTGTTGCCACTTGGTATTCTTTTACAGTATATTGGATACCTACTTTCTTTATAGCTAGGAATAGCACATCTTGTTGAAAACTACAAAAAACAAAACGTTAGCTGCCCTGATAAACTTTAGTTATTGGGTATTGTATAAATGCCAAAAATAAATAGCCTCATTTTGGGGTTTTAGCCCATCTTTTTTTACCCTGTATTTAAGTGAACATTTTTGTGGTTCAAACCTATTCCAATCCCTAACTGTTATAGCTCAGTTTTCAGTTCTGTTTGCTTATTTTAGAAGATTCTGAAGCAGAATAATATGGTAACTCTCTCTGGAAATGTCAGTTGTAGTAATTCATACCATGTTTTGCTTGTAGGTAAGCATTGCTTGCCCAGAAAGGATGGAACCAATTACAAAAGTGTCCCACATTCCACCAAGTAGATGGGCTTTAGTTTGCAGCTTATGCAAATTGAAAACTGGTGCTTGTATTCAGGTATGTGCTAATTCTGTGTTGTGATCTTTGAGGTTGCAGAGTAGAAATTGCACGGTAGCAAACACCACGTTCAGAGTGGTGAGAAGCAACTCTCTCATAGTGTGCTGGATGGAAGACAAATGTAGCAGCTGCTTTGCTCCCAGCAGTATCTTGCAGGTAAATAGCCTTCAGCTGTAGAAACACTTAGTTTTGAGAGGAGGAAAGTGGGCTTCAAATAGAGTGTCCCAAGTATTTATCAGTAGTCAGGTTTTTGAGCCAGTCATAGATTTGCTGAGTTTGAATGTTTAAAAAATGGACTGGCTGAAACACCCTACTTCCTGATTGAACACAGTTCAAATTTGACCTATTCAGTCTTTCAGCATTTGCTTAGCACAGAGAGCCTGCTTTTAGCCTTTGGTAAAGGTACAGTTTGAGATGTTCAGTAAGGATGCAGCCAATGGCTGTACTAAACACTGTGTACCAGCTATTCTTAGGGCTCACTAACTCTGAAAAGGAGTGTAATGTATGAAAACTTCGTGTATTTTTAGCATTTGTTAACTGCCCAGAGCCTTGCCTATTGGGTGGTAGAAAAATGAAATAAAGAAACAAACTGTTCTGTATGGCTTGAATGATATCTTCCAGCACAATGCTATGACTGCAGGCAGCATCTGCATGGCCATGGGATTCGTTGGAATCCTAGCTCTGCTCTGCTCTGATGTTGCAGCTGGGATTCCAAGCTTGCAGCTCCTTTTACCTGCTTGCATCTTTCATGGAAAGAACTGTGCTGGTGGTGTACAGACTGATGTAGCAAATGCAACCTTGGAGGTGTTGAGCGTGTTCTGGTGAGGTGAGGAAAAGACTGGTGCCGCCACAATAGGAAGCACACTGGCAGTGTCGTGGCCTCCTTGGTCCCAGTCTGTGGAGTTACACTTAGCCAAATTTGGCTCTCTCCTTTTGCAGGGTGAGAGTAGTACAGAGGTAATCTTCGCCTTTGCACTACTTCTGCCCTTCAATAGGATGCCTGTAATGCTCCAACTCTGTAGACATCAAGACTAGATAGCACCTTTCTAACATTGTAAAAACTCTTATGGGTTTTTTTTAAAAAATCCAAGGCCTTTTACACAAGGAATAATGTAGGTTGGCTGTGGAAAATATATAGGTAAATGGGTACAGATGCTTGAAAAATGAAGATGACATCAGAGGAATCAGCTAAGTAGCCATGAAAGAGTCATATTTGTTTTTGTAAATGCTACCTAAACATTTATAACCTTGGTAGTTAAGGAAGTTCTGCTCCATATCCCAGTTCTGCCATGAAGCTGTGAATATTTTATTCTTGTGCTGCTAGTGATTTTTAGTTAAATGGTTCTTAGTAGAAATGCAACTGAATTAAATTACTGATATAATGAACTACACCTTTGTCACTTACTAAACACTTTTAACCACAATATTAAAACCCTGTTGAATACATAATGTATTTTTGTTTAATCATCTGTGTTCCTAATCTAGAAGTTAGTTCACAATTTTGGCTCTCCAAAGTGCACCTGCACCGCTTATAAAATGAAGATAAAGTGTTGTAACCTAAAGTCAGTCTGCTGCATTTCTATAAGCTGTGTCTCCTGTGTGTCTTTAATGGAGCATAATTGACTTGACCTGGTCTGGAAGTTACCATTCAGTCTTTAAGCTCCTGAAATGGTGTTCCAGAATATCGCCTATAAAATCACGTATGGGTGCATTTGTAATATTAAAAGCTTGATTGATGCGTCTGAGTTTTCGTTGGTTAGTTTTCTTCTGCTGGTACATGTGCTGATATTGACTGCGAGCGGTTTCCTTCACTCAACAGTGCTCTGTGAAGAGCTGCATTACTGCCTTTCACGTCACATGTGCCTTCGAGCATAGCCTAGAGATGAAAACCATCCTGGATGATGGCGACGAAGTCAAGTTCAAGTCGTACTGTCTGAAGCATAGCAAAACGAAGCAGAACTTGATGTCTGATGCAGATGACTATCCCAAGTGCACAGTAGACCAGAAGCAGACTGAGAGCGAGAAAACCAGTTTGCGTGCCCAGAAGCTTCGGGAACTGGAAGAGGAGTTCTACTCACTAGTGAGAATAGATGATGTTGCAGCAGAACTGGGCCTCCCTAAGCTCACTGTGGACTTGATTTATAATTACTGGAAATTAAAACGGAAAAGTAACTTTAATAAACCTTTATTTCCTCCCAAGGAGGATGAAGAAAATGGCTTGGTTCAGCCAAAAGAAGATAGCATTCATACTCGAATGAGGATGTTCATGCACTTGAGGCAGGATCTAGAGAGGGTAAGGTGGACAAGGGGGAGGGAAACTAATAAATGGTGTAAAGCTCTTTCTTCCAGATGTGTGTGTGCATGCATGCGCGTACACACAGAGCTCAGAAATGAACTTAGTTTCTTGAAATCCTGACAGCGCTCAGCATCTTGGTAGTGCTCCTTTTTTGAATCTTGAATATGGAAGGAGAGATTGTTAGATGAAGCACAGGTTTTTGTGTGATGTCAAACTAAACCTTGTAGGTTTGGACAACAATTCTTGGGGTTTTTTCGGCATGTGAATCTGATTCTTAGTTCAGTGTTCTTTATGTTTTAAATTATGTGTAAAGGTTCTAAATCTGTAATTTGTAATCAAATATTACCATAAGTAGTAATTCTTAAAAACGTGTTACAAGCTTTTAAGTGTGAAGTTTTTTCTCCTTTAGGTGAGGAATCTTTGCTACATGGTAAGCAGAAGAGAGAAGTTAAAACTTTCTCACAGCAAAGCTCATGAGCAGGTCTTCAATTTGCAAGTCCAGCTTATTAATCAGGAAATTGCTGCAGGTAATCAGCATATAATTTTCCCTATTTGCCCTCCTGCCCCCTGAGATCGTCAACAGAAGCCCTCCTCCAAGAACCCTCTGTGAAAGATGTTAGGAGACAGAGTACCCGGAGGAGGGCCTTCTCTGTGGTGGCGCCCCAACTATGGAATGCAATTTCCTGTACAAAGAATAGTCTGCTGTCACTGGTGGACTAGAGGGCATTTGAAGCCACAGGTTTGTGGAGTGCAGAGGTGGCAGTTATTTTGATGGCCAGAACAGGGAAGATGGGGGAGTGATTTCAGGCTGGACCAACACATTGGCAGTTTTCTATTCTATGCTAGAATATATAAATAATGCAAATTAAATTTGTATTTTTATACTGATATGTTCATAAATTGTGTAGTTCTTGGAACTGAGAAACATAGAGCCTTAGTGTGTGTACATGCCAGGAGTAATAGGTTGTAAAAAATATCTTTTGAATTTGATTTGATTGGAACATGAACAAAGAAACTTATGTGACTTGCCCAGTGTGCTGGTTTGGACGTATGGAAAGTAAAGAAATTAAATAAATGTGAATTTAAAATTGAAAATCCAAGCAGGTTACTATATTAAAGATGTCCATAATGGATATGTTGCATATATTTGCAAAACAAAATCTGCCTATTAAATATCTCTCTTCCTCCCCATTCCAAACTTTTTTTTCCTTTTTAGGACATTCTCTGACAAATGCACTAGAAAACACACTATTTTATCCACCGCCTAGAATCACCTTGAAACTAAAAATGCCGAAATCAACACTGGGGGATTGCAAAAATAACTTGAAATCTGCTAACAAGCTCCTTTCTTCCGAAAACAATTCTACGGTATACAGCAAAAAGGGTATTCCATTATCTAAGGAGACTTTTGTTTCAAATATTAAATCCTACTCAAGATTTCAGCATGAAAATAGAATTAATGGCTTACTGAGTGGGTTTGCAAAGTCTAGGAATGAAGCAAAAGATTCTGGACCTGCCCACTCATCAGACTTCCATCATGGGCAGTCATCTGGGAAACCCTTAGCACTTCAAGCTGCATTGCATGGACAGTCTTCCATCGGGAATGGGAAAATTCAGCCGAACACTAAACTAGCCAAGTCAAATGGCTTAATGAACAGAGTTGGAGATGTCACTCAGAGGGATAGCTCCAGCCAAACCACATACGAGCAGCAGTCTGTGCTCTCTTCCCACTTAGCTAGCCAGAGCAGCTTCCGAAAATCCACAATAGAACACTTTAACCGGTCCTTCAAAGAAGCAACTAACAGTTTGGTGAGGACCACAGAAGATCTCAGGTGCTGTGAAAAGCCCTCAAGAAGGCTTTCACTGAGGGATCGTTCATGGGGCAAGCAAACGCTCGAATATCAAATGGGGAGTGCTCCCTACCAGGACAATGATGGGTATTGCCCCGATTTGGAACTCAGTGACTCTGAAGCTGAAAGTGATGAGAATAAAGGACAACTCAGATTGAGAAAAAGCAGCTCGGAGAGAGAGAGCCCAAGTCAAGACTTTAATAGAGATTGTCACAGTAGGAATAAAAGAAATTTGATTTCCCACAGTTCGGTACAAAGGTGATTAGAAATCCTGGACAGTGGGAGCAGTTCAGCCTTTGTATATCTAACACGCAAAACTAGGGAAATTTGCAGGTTATGCATTATGGTGCAGGGCCCATAAGTGAACAACAGAGGTGTTTTCCTCAACTGTGAAGTGGTTTGCCCTTTTAAGATTGTTAACTTTTTTTTCTCCCAAGGTCATTGTGCTCTAAGTAAAGGTTCTTTAAAGTAGCAGTTGCAGAAAAGGTTTTATCTATCTGCTTTTCTCTATAAAATGTTATGCATTGGCTTTTTACTGGCAAACAGTTATAGAAGGCCCTTCCATCTTTCTGTGAAAATCTGCAAGATGATCAGACAGTTCTAGCTGTAGCTGTGATACAGGCTCATTTCGTAAGAACACTTAAGCAATCTCTTAAATGTTTAAGCAACAACAGAGATGCCTGCGTATTTGAAATGGTTTCCTTAAGTGTTTTTCTGGATTGGGACATATATGACTACTAGATAGAAATCATGTTCTCAATGAGTTTTAGGACAGACAGTGTATGATCCTAAATCCTTGGAAGAAAGAACCATTTAAACTCTGGGCTTTGCTTTCAAGTAACAGGCATAGAATCAGAGTATATGTAATGGCTCCTCCTAGCCTGCTGAGGTAGGTTTACAAAGTCCATATTCAATGCTGCCAAACACACTGACCTCTAGATTTTTCCCTTCATAGTTTGCTCCTTCTAAAGGTTGCATTTCATTCACTGTAGTAGTTTGCTTTATTCTGTAAATACTCTTTAACTTCCAGTATTTTTGACTTTTTAAAAAATTCCTGTGTATATAATAGCTTGTTGTGGGTTGCACTTGTAAAATATTTTACCCAGATAGCCAATACAGGTGGCTGCTATGTGGATAATGTTTAATACTAGAAGTACTTAATCTCTTTAACATATTCAGGCAATCACCGGTGATGCCAAATTCTCCCTTGTTGACTCAGAAGGCTTTTTATTTTTCTTTTAAACTTGGTGCCCACCCCCCATCCCAACATACTACTTTTTTCAACTAGCAAAGACTTTGTCAGGTTTCTGACCCAAAAGGTTAAAAATCAGTGTATGTATACACATCTGCTTATTGGTTTCCAAGTTCACGTAGTCAAAAATGGTAAACTGAAATAATTTTTTAGGGGAGTATAAAGGCCACTTTATTCTTTTTTTTTTTTAAGAAAACAGTTTCTAACATGTTTAAAACAAATACAGTGGCCTCAAAGAATTACTCTTATTCATTATTCCACATCCTCGATTTTTAATTAGAATAAAACAGAACTGCAGTATCCAAAAATCATTTCATTAATAGACTCTTCATTCTTTGGCTTTGTTAATGAAATGCCATAATGCAAAGCAAATGTAATTTGCATTAATTTGAAATCTAATAATTAATGTGCAGCAAAAACAAGTGAGAGCCACATCTTTCTTGAAAGCCTTAACATTATTTCATTTATCTGAGAAGAATAAATTCTTGATGGCATTTATATCCTTCAGGAATCTGTAATTTGACCGTTCTATATGTTTTGCTTTAAGCATTCTTGAAAGATTGGTTTGTTTACTCCTTTTTGTATGTGTAGTTTTATGTTTTCAAAGAGATTTATTTTTAAGGCATTTCCTTTGGTGTAAATATGCAGTAGCTTTTTTAAAACAAATATCTGTTTTGTTTGTTGAGAAATGGTTGACTTAAGTTGTGAACCATTCAGAATGGTGCTGATAATGTTCACTTCTCTATACATTGGTTCTAGTTCTCTTTTTAATATATATTTATTGTTACTTCCTGGTCATGAAAGTAACAGAACTGAACTTGGGAACAACTCTTTCAGTGGCCAGGAAGAGAAAACATAATCATGGTTCATCCTCTCCAGTGGTATGACAATAATATAAAGGGTGGAAGAAGGTGCTTCAGCAACAGTCTTGCTGGTTTAAAGGTGATGACTCAATTATACCAGTTCAGGCAATAGTGTTTCTGATTTGTTAGTTTTACATGATTTTTAATAGATACGTGAAGGACCCTATGGCTGCATAGCTTTCAAGTATCTGTTTCCAAAGTATGTTTGCTAGTTTTTACAGTGTGTTCAGTGGCTAACTTTGAAGTATTACCTCTTAACCTAATTTGTTGTCTTGTTTTGCTTTATATTAAATATATATCTATAGATATATATATAGATATATATATATTCAATTTTTAAAAAATGGACTGTCTTTTTCAGACGTCCCCTTTTTACAGTACTTTTTTCATTAAATTATAAACTGCTAACCAAATCTTCTTCATTGTGATCTTTTGAGGACTAATATTTGTGGGAAAGTTGCAGAACAAATACATTGTTTGTTGGAGCTGTTTGAGTATTCTATCGCTGAAGGAGTTGTAAAATTCCTATATACAAAGCAAATAAGTCAATTCTGGTGCTATTCAGAACCTAGATTTTTTCATATATATTATTATACAGGACAGCCTACTTACAAGTGCAAGGACATGTTCCATGTAGGAGTTTGGTAATGTCTGAATTATATTTATAGGGCTGCAACAGGATTAAATGTATTTTAATTGGCTAATTTTACAAGTTTGATTAATCTGTTGATTTATTTTTATACAACACACACACATACCTCTTGTACCAAATCCTGTCTTACAAAAGGTGTATCTTCCTATATGATGGAAGAGGGGGGAATCCCCTTTAAGATAGTGCTTGTCATCTACAGTTTTATTAAACTGCATTAACTTTTTTAAACAGCCCAGTGAATCAGGCTACTTCTTACTTGATTGACCAATTAGAATATATAATCACTGAATATTTCAGCCATATATATTTGTTAATATTTTCTGGAACTGCTTTACTATCATAAAATACATCATTTTAGAAAAAATACAGCTTGCCTTTAGCCACTCAAGACAGCTTTTTATATTAAAGACACAATAAAGTTAATACATTATTTAACTCATTGAAACAGTAGCATAAGGCCTATCATATTAAATTGGTAAAACAGGAAATCAAAACATATTACAGGCTCAGTAAAATAAAAATTCTGTATTTGCATCCTAAAACGTGAGAGATGGAGCTGACTGAACCTCATTCAGGGAGATTGTTCTACAGTCTGGGTGCCTCTGCTGTCATAGCTTCACACACATCCAAAGCTCTGGTAATGTTCATTGTATACAAATACCACCAACCGACTCAATGTTTGGATTGTAAGCTAGTGTGTAATTGAATTGTAATTGGTGCAACAATCAAAAAAATCTGCATACAGAAATCTTACTGCTAAAGGAATACATGCATGGTTTGTTGCCAAATATTGTTTCAGAAGATTTCTTAGCTGATTTGCATTTTGGGTCATTTATCCTGAAATTTGGGATTGGTCTTAAAAACTACAGTCTTGTTTAAAATGAGGCAACTGTTTGCCAATGCCTTTGATCACAATAAGGGTCTAAGGACAGAGATTAGATAACTGGGAGACATACTGCATTTCAAAAACCCCAAAGTTTAAGGTATTTTTCCATGTAAACCCTAATGTTTGTCTTTTCCATGTAAACACATTCCCTGCAGGAAATGGCATGCATATTCAACTTTTTGGGGATGATCAAATGTTTATACAGGCACTAAAAAAGGTAAAGGTTTCCCCTTGACATTAAGTCCAATCATGCCTGACTCTAGGGGGCGGTGCTCATCTCCATTTCCTAGCAGAGGAAGCCAGAGTTTGTCTGCAGACAGTCTCCGTGTTCAGGCGGCTGGCATGACTAAACACCGAAGTGCATGGAATGCTGTTACCTGCCCACCGAAGGGGTACCTTTTTATCTACTTGCATTTGCATGGCAGGAGCCGGGATGGAGCAACGGGAACTCACCCTGTTTTGAACCGGTGACCTTTCGATCAACCAGCCCAGCAGCACAGCGGTTTAAACCACTGCGCCACCTGCAGTCCCATACAGGCACTATATGGGTACTATTGCATCCGTGTTGCACATATTTAAATATTCAACATGGCCAGGAGAACTATGAAATAGAAAAACAAATGGAACCTGTAAATGGAACAAATGGACCCTGTTGCGGCATGGATTTCATTGTCCCAGTAAATGAGTAGGGCCCTCCTCTGCAATACTACATTTTCCTCCCGCTTTGGGCTGGTGTTCTGTCGTTTCCCCATGCCTGCAACAGTCACTGTTCAGAAGCCACTGAACTTTCTCAGTCTTTGTGTGGTTTTGAGGCTTTTCACCCACTGCAGAGCTTTTACGTCTGCAAACCGTAGTGTTCCCCCTGTAGCCAGGCTTCTACTTCATAGGTGATGCTATTTCTGTTCCACAAGTGCAAGCCAAACAAATAGAGACCCCAAGCGTGTCCCTGTAATGAAATGATTCAGTATGTCCTCTTGTCCCTGGCTGAAAACAAATCTTGACAAAGCCAGAAGCTCTTACTGCTTCATTTTTAGTTAATTTTTGAATGTTTAAACATGCAGCCTATCTGCATGCAAACAAGTGGAGAAAGTGCCATTCTTGCTTTGCCTAGAGATGAGGTTTGAGGGGGCAGGGGGTAAATGAAATAATTTTACTTTTGCTTCAGCCTAAGATATACTGGGGAGATGTGGGGGGAAGGATAAATTTGGAATGCAAAGTACCTTAATTCACAATTGGCTTGAAGATATTAAACTGGGCTATGTCGCAGGGCTACTGAATGCCACTTTTTCAGCACAACTTTTCTTTCTGCGGTAGCTAAAACAATGGTGCACTGTGAGTGTAATACTCTCAAGGTCCGCTGCAATGTTATGAAAGCACTGGCTAATACTGCAAGGTTCTGTAAGTGCTCTCACATTCAGCTCAAGATGAACTAATACTTCTAGGCAACATTGTAGAATTGTTGCCAACCACTCAACATCTAGACATGTATTATTCATTGTGAACTACGGTGCAAGATTATCATAAACACAGCCGCAACTCCTTTCAACCTGAAATATCGCTATAATTAACTTTGCTTCTGGGATTTGCATGAGCAAAATATTCTTCTAAAATATTTCTCCCTTAAGTGCAAGAGCAGGAACTTTCTCTTTGCTGCTACATTGTAGGGGGATTGGATGGAGACACTAGTATCAAATCTGGGCTACTATTCAAGTCTTAGCTTTCCCAGGGGTTGTTTGAAACAGTTCTCACTTCTAAATGGAAAAAATAGCTTCTGAACAAGAAGATGGCTTCTCCCATGCAATAAGATGGAGCTTTATTCCTTTTAGATCTGTGACTCTTCACTTTTCCAGTCACTCAATTTCATCCTGACCTCTGTGATGCTGGTGCTGGGGTTTATTCCCCTGCAACGGCCCATATTCCGTTGGTGCTGAGCATACTCAGTCCTGTTTGGGCTGTTTTTGAGTGCTCTAATACCTTGTTGGCAAAATTGGAATTCTCTGGATCATTTCCTATTGGCCCAGAGAGTCATGCAGTAGTTTAATGTTAACAGCAAGAGTGAAAGGCAAATTTGCGCTTCTCATCTCCTTAATCTCACTCGCTGCTGTGTCAGGAGACCTTTGCACTGTGCAAAAAGCAGCACAAAAAGTATTCAGGCTTCCTTCTAGCAAACCTAGAAAGGCAGCTGCAGTGGACTGCTGTCATGCAAACAACAGAAAAGGCAGCAGCAAGGAATGTCATTTATCTTTAATGAGATCCCTCACCATCATTACTGGGAAGAATTCAGTAGTAGATAATCCTTGTACTTTTCTTTACAAACAAAGTACAAAGGCCTTGTGCAAACCTCAGTGGCCAGGAAAGCTATGGCTGAGTAATGAGGTTAAAGACAGCGGTACACTCAGACTGAGGCTCGAAGGACCGAGTTGGAATAATGTACTTAATTGTAGAAAATATTCTTACCCTGCCATAGGCTATGGACTGCAATAGTGAAAATATTAATACTTTGGGGAGCAAATTATTCCAGGCTGTGCTGATGATGCCCTGCAGAACATGTTACTTACCTCCCACAATAAGCTGTTTCAGCTCCTACCTACCAAAGACATTGCGACATGAATTTGAAAAAGAACATATTCTCTATCAAGGGATTTCAATATGTCAGGAAACAACATTTTGGAAATGTTCCCCTCCTGGTTTTCTACAAGAAGACTGTCGCAATTCTATCTTGAAGGCACTGTCACTCAGTGGTGGATGGGATTCCTGTTTCGAATGCTGAAGGTCTTGTGCTCACTCCCTGCCTGACGCACTGGAGAACGGCTGCCAAGTCAGTGTTGCCAGTCCTGGACTAGATGAAACTAATGATTCATGGCTTGTTTGAGCTTTGTAATATAAGCTGCAAAATTGTAACTTCGGCAGTACGTTGGAGTCCTTTGCTACATGTAGTTTAATTCCCATTCCCTGAGTTTACTATAAAAATCAATCATTAGCCCCCTTCCACCTTTGACTGACCCTTGGTGTCTGATCAGTTTGAAGTTAATTGCAATACATTAACTAGAGGGTTCAGAGTTCTAGGTGGTGTAGAGTTGATAAAGTTGTCTATAGCATCCTCCCGGCCTGTTCAGTGGGCTGGGAGTAAGCTGTGTATTAGAATGGTTCTACTCCAACATCCAGGGTAGAGTATAGCAATGAGAGACTTCTTTGTTGTAGATTCCATCTTTTCTCCCATGCTATAACATAGAATAAAGCCACTGGATGTATCCAATACATGGATGACAGCTGGCTATATCAACTGTATGGCCAAACTGGAAACGGGGCATGTGCGTGCATTCCCTCCTCGCAAGCATTGTGTATGCCCAGTTATTTCAGAAACCTTTGCAAGATGAATGCGAAGGTCTGCATCGGGGCTTATAAGTATTTCTGTCCAATATGATTATACAGGTCTTGTGACTATGAAATCTGCCTTACCGGATCATCATACTCAATATGCAAATTAACTAGGTGTGCAGCATGCTTTGGACTAGTACCTGGGGCTGGTCATATCCTGTTCTAGTTGAATGTGGATGGTAAGTCCTGCATTAAGGTTTATGTCTCCAGTCCAGATAGATCAGGTGAGGCTTTGCAAGTGCCAGAGGCAGTAATGGGCAGTATTTATGTATGGGCTAAGTAGGCTTCAGCCCAGGGTCTCATAATCTAAGGGGGCCTCAGCCTCCTGCCCAGATCAAACAACCATTTTATTTCATTTCTAACAGTATGTAGGCAAAAGATCATTTTCTAGACAAAAAAGTATAAAAATCCATGGTCAAAAAATGTTCCAAGATCAGTTGTTTGATAAACTGCAAATTACTTAATGATATAATTGATAAGTTTGCATCCAAAAAACTTTAAAAAAAACCCTATTATGACTTTGAATATAGTGTAATATTATAACATAGCTATGATTCCCCTATGAATATTCTGAATGAACATCTTCATTAATTTCATAACTTTAATTTGCGAAGTTATTAAAGGTTTTAAATTTATACACTATCTTTTAATCAATGCTAAAATTCCAGTAATGTTCTTTCACTGAGCAGATAAAGAAGAGAACAAAATTTTGTTTATCATGATCAGATGCTATTAAGTTTGGGCCTCCCAAGGTCTCCTAGCCCAAGGCCTCCAGTTGCTTTAGTCCAGGAATGGGAATGTATTGCAAAATTGAATAAACTGAAGTTAAATCCTGGTAAATTGGAGGCTCTGTAGATAAGTTGTTCCTAAATCTGAGAATTCATGGCCTTCCCTAGGTGGAATAGTACTCTCCCTGATGGAACACATGCAGCTTGGGAATGCCCCACAATCTGAAGCTTGATAGTAGAGGCCCAGGTGGAAAGGAGTGCTTATAGCGAGTTGCAGAACATTCCTAGACCAGGATAACTTGGCAATACTAGTTCATGATTCGGGATTGGGGGTTGGAGGCACTGCTTTACAATGGTTCCGCTCCTATCTCAACGGTCGATTCCAGAAGGTAGTGCTGGGGGACCATGTCTCTGCGTCATGGCAGCTATGCCATGGAGTACCACAGGGCTCCATTCTATCCCCTCTGCTATTTAACATCTATATGAAACCGCTGGGAGAGGTCATCAGGAGGTGTGGGCTGCGGAATCATCAGTACGCTGATGATACCCAGCTCTACCTCTCGTTTTCCACTAATCCAGGTGAGGCAGTGGCTGTGCTGAACCGGTGCTTGGCCGAGGTAATGCAATGGATGAGGGCCAATAAACTGAAACTCAACCCAGACAAGATGGAGGTCCTGTTGGTTGGCGGATCGGGCTTTGGAGAGGGTGGAGTTGACCTGGTCCTGAATGGTGCAACACTCCCTCTTAGGGATAAGGTCCGCAGCTTAGGAGTACTCCTCGACCCGGAGCTTTCTTTGGAAGCTCAGGTGACAGTGGTGGTGAGGAGCGCCTTCCTTCAGCTTCGGCTGATTAATCAGCTGCGCCCCTACCTGGAGTTCGACTGCCTGGCGACGGTGACACACGCGCTGGTGACTTCCCGCCTAGACTTCTGTAACGCGCTTTACGTGGGGCTTCCCCTGAAGACAGTCCGAACACTTCAATTGGTGCAAAATAGAGCTGCCAGGTTGCTGACAGGGACGGGGCGTTATGCTCACATGACTCCAGTCCTCTGTCAGCTTCACTGGCTGCCCATTGAAGCCCGGGCCCAATTCAAGGTGTTGATTATGACCTATAAAGCCCTAAACAGCTTGGGTCCGGGCTACCTGAACGAGCGCTTACGTCCATATATGCCCGACCGCCCTTTGAGATCTGCGGGAGAGTCCCTTCTCCGGGAACCCTCCATGAAAGAAATTAGGAGAGTAAGTACTCGGAGGAGGGCTTTCTCTGCGGTGGCGCCCAACCTATGGAATTCACTCCCCAAAGAGGTCCGCCTGGCACTGTCGTTACTGGTTTTTCGGCGCCAGGTAAAGACCTTTTTATTTAAACATCATTTTAATTGTTAAAATAAATGATCTGGCCAGGGCAACTTCTTCTTCCTTCTCTTTTCTCCTCCTATATTATTTATTTACTTATTTTATACTGATAATTTTAATTTTATATTATTATGTTTGTAACTCAATGTATTTTTTGTATTTTTGTATTTAATGGTAATTTATTATGTGCTATTGTATTTCAATGTATTCTATTGTGTTGTAAGCCGCCCCGAGGCTTCAGCAAGGGGCGGCATAGAAATGTAATAATAATAATAATAATAATAATAATAATAATAATAATAATAATTTCATAATTTCCCAAATGAGCTATAACAATGCTCTCTATGCAGGATTTCCCTTGAAGATGGTCTGGAAGCTGAAGCTGATGCATGTTGATGGGTGGACAGATATGAGCATATTGCTTATTTTAATTGCAGCCACAGCTAGCACATACAAATTCAAGTTAAAATACAAGGTATGTATAAATAACAAATAACAAAAAGCAACTTCAGTAACAATCTAGTAGTAGCAGCTAATGCTAAGAAAGCTGTGAGAAGGTTTAACCATCTGATTTCTAACAGAGTATGCTTGAGCACAGAATTTAGTTTTTTTGAGGATAACCCTGAGAGAGGAAGATTAAAACTTACTGATTCTAAATGGAAATGTTAGTATTGAGGGCAACAAAATAGAAATCGATGTCCATATAATATAAATAGTATAATAAAACATTTGACTGTTTTGAGTTTGCCAGAGTGACTAAAGGAGAAACATTCAGAATAGGGAGTTTGAGCATCTCCTTTCCAGGAGAGCTGATGCTAGAAGGTTAAAATGTGAGGCAAGCACTTTGCACCAGTTTTGAAATGTCTAGACTATCAGCCAACTGGGCTCAATTCCTGGTGCTAGTCACTGCTTTTAAACAGCCTTAAATGGCTCAGGATCCAGGTACTGCAAGGTCCTTTCCCCAGTACCACAGCAACCAGGATTTAAGATAGAACAGGGATGCTTTGCCTGTGATGTCCTCGAAGGATGTCCTCTCTGAGGCCATTGTGTCACTCCGGCATGACACTCATTTGTGTAAACTTTTGGGTGTACAGGCAAGTGTTTTGGATTCCCTTGTGTTTTGCTTGCATGTATGTCTCTGTCAACACCCGTTTAAAGTGGAGCCAGGTCTTTGACAGCGAGCTGTTGAGCCTCCTTTAATCCCAGAATGGATGTAATCAATACATGGAATGCAACAATAAAAAGGGCCACACTTCTGTACTTTCCTGAGCAGCAAGAGTCTTAAGGGAAAGTGTGATATAAGCAGCAAGCTGTGGACAGTATGGCAAAATGAAAAGTGGAGGCTCTCACTGTGAAAGTAGTGGGTTGCCACCAGATGCAAGCACACCCATTGTGGTCTGTGCACGTGTCAATGTATATATCTATGATACAGCGCAAAACCAGCAGGTTTCCTGTCCTGCTGCTTGTAGAGGTAGGTTTATTCCTTCATAAGAACGAAATATTTATTGGGTTGAAATAACACAGGCAGAGATAGGCAGGCAGGCAGGCAGGCTGGCAGCGCCTTTGTTGCTTCTGTGGTTGGATAACAGCAGCAGTTAATAATAAAGAAAGCAATGCTGGCCAACTGGAGACAACCTTCGCTCTCATGGCGCATAGCCTCTTTCCCTGCTTCTTTCCTTTTCCAAAATGTGATTCCTGACGCTCAAAACTTGTCCCGACCTCTCTTCCCGAAGGAACCTCGCCTTCCAGAATCCGGAGGGCCTTGCGCCCCCCGCCCGGCCCGTTTCCCCTGCCCCTCCGCCTTCCCGATCGCTGCGCGGCGAGCCTGGCCCGCAGTACGAGCGCCTTGCAGCCCAGGCCAACTGGCAGGCCCCGGCAAGTGCGCGCGGCGCACGGCGAGCCTGGCCCTCCCCCCGCGCAAAGCCAGCCGCGAGCAGGGCCGCCGCCAGGTCTCCAGATCAGGTACGTGTGTCCTGGTAAACGACCATCAAGGGACACCGCACTGCCGTCCTCGCCAGTACTAGGCTCCTGCAGGAGGGCTCTTCCCTGCGATCTGCAACTTTCCCGTAGAAATCGTGGGCCTGAATCCGGCCTCCCTCGCGCCTGGATCCCAGAGAAAGGGCTTCAAACGCTCCTTTCTTCCTGGAAGTCTTTCTCTTTCAGTCTTGCTTTACGCTCAGTTTTCATCTGCTTCCTCCCTGGCGCAGCGCCAGCAGAGTCGCCTCTCTTATAAACTCGACGGTGAGAGGAGGCGCATGGGAAGAATCCATCTTTTAACGCTCTGAGATTCCCTTAACTGCGTATACGGTCAATTAGCTAAAGGGTCTCCAATCCGCACACTGATTTATATGCATGCATGCATGCATGGCTAAGCTATAGGGATCCGTGGCCACCTTGCTACAAACAAACTTTGTTAGGTTGGGCAAAATATGCTGTGGCAACAATAATTCAGTTAATTAAAAACAAAGAGTCCTGTGACATGGTAAAGACTAGCACACTTATTCTGTTGCCAAGAGTCATGGACTGCAGCCCACTTCATCAGATGCAGCAGATGAAGTGAATAAAAGCTTCTGGCAGAACTTGTTAGTCTCTAAAATGCTTTTTGTTGCAACAGACTAACATTTGTTTACTAAAAAAATGATTAAGCCCCATATTTTCTGTCTAAAGTGAGTCTGTTGGAGCCATATTAAATATTAAAATAATAGTGGAATCCTGCGCATGTCTGTGAAGGAGTAAGTCCGACTGAGTGCAATGGGATTTTCTTCCAAGTACGTGTGTACTGGATTGCAGCCCAAATTAAACAAAGCTCCACTTTTACTGGTTGTTATACTAATAGTTTTCCTCTTAATATGTATCGTTTTAAAAGTTTCATTCCCTTGGACTTCTTGCTGTGCCAAAAATAAGCTACAAGGAAATATTTTTAGCATATATAATATTTTAGTTATATATATTTTGGCTACATGTGGCAGTTTCTTATTTATAACAGTGCACTTTTATTTTTAATCAACAAATTAGTCTTTGCATGATCTGCAGTATCCTAATTTCTTCTCCCTGCTCCTTATATGCTTTGCCTCCCATTCCCAGCAAAAATGCTGATTGGAGGACTTTTGAAGTTTGCTCTATCTATTAGTGCCCACACACAAAAAACCTTATTCAGCAGGAACTTGGTAATGTTTGACTGTTAAGATAATAGCTAGCAGCAAAGATTAGCCATTCCAGCTGCTATAAGTAAATGTGAGGACATTTCGGAAGTGCTAGCCTTCAGAAAAGCAGGAACACTTTAGAGACTTGATTGTGGCATAAATTTTTCAAGGCTGCAGTCTATGTCACTGGATATACTGACTGGAATTCTAGACTAGAGCCAGCTGAAAAAGGATTTCCCAAGCAAAACTATCTGATACTAAATTCTGTAGGAATAACTATTAATTGTTTATCTTCCTCCAGTTGCCAAACATATTGTTGTTTTTAACTAGTTGCTTTATTGAAATAACGTTTGTGTCTATATACTTAGGTTACTCATCTGTATCTGGACTAAAATCTTGAATTGCCATCCAACCAATATTAACCACCCTTGGAGGTTCAATCCTCTGTGTCATTTTGCCACTGAACTCAGCAGGAGGTAAGAGTTACACTTTCCACTGGATTGTATTGCTTATCATTTTAGAACTAGTGAAACTGAAGAAAACTAAAATGTTATTTCTTCTGCTGTTTTGTAAAATACCTAACTAAGCTGCCACATGTTATGCATTTAGGCATCTGTAGTTACAAGTCAAAAGTGCAGTAAAAATATTGCAGTTTCGTCTCACCACTTAATGTAGCCCACCCAGAGAGTATGGGATTAAGAGGGAAGGCTAAAAATCCAATAATTAAATAATAAATATTGGGAGGGTATTTTTGTTTGAGGTGCCAGGCAGCCATGATATAAATTATATTAGCTCAAGCAAGCCAGTTCACTCTCTCCTCTGGCTGGGAGGGGTTTGTCCCCTTTGATTTTGTTTGTTGTACTTCTGCATATTTTCCACATGTATAGTGATATATTCCTCTCAGTAGCCAGCTTTTGATTCCATTTCTATTGCCTTCACTACCTACTTTTGTGCTCAGAGGGAGCTCTTGTTATTTGGTAACACTATATAGGTCTGTTCACCGGTGATCCACCAAGATGAGTGAAACCTTCCAGCTGCATATTATAGCCTGCCTCCTGCTTGAACTCCTGGTTTTGTTGTCTTAGGAGATGTAGTGAATCTCTGGCAATTATGCATAATCAGTGGACTACCTTTGGTTCAGTAGGCATAGATACCCACTCCTGGTGTAAGTCATCTGAGCATTTTCAGACAGAATGCTTCAAATGCGACATTGCTTTTTCCATGTTTGGATTCAGATTCAAAATCTGCATAGGCTCTGATGTACATTTAGTTCAAAAGGACTCAGTCTGGCATTGGAGAGGTCCATAGGTGTGTTTGGAGCTATGTGAAAATGCCTTTATATCCAGTGTTTTGTCTTGGAAAATGGGATTTAGTATTGGAATTGGATTCCACATGCAAGCATTGCACAGTGCATCTCCCCATTCATGTGTCTGAGGAGCAAACACACTTTTACCCCGTGAGTAGTCCTCCCTCTGCTTGTGTTTTTTCTTCTCAGGCCTCATCTACACATGGACCAAATGCACTGGTTGAACTGAAATGGTCTTACAAGCCGTATACTCACACTGCAGGTGCAGATCATATCTTTTCAAAAAAATACTGTCCTACCTATGAAAGGCCCTACACTATGGTGGGAATGAAGCAGTGAGAGTCTAAGTGAAAAAAGCTTAATGCCGTATAAGTTCAGTGGTGGTACATGATTTTCAAGTCTTCTTTACATGTGAAAAAACCATCCCTGTGAACAATTAACCAGCACAATAAAGAATGAAATGGATATTTCCCCCCCTCCAATTTATATATGGTGGAAGCAGTCAAAAATGGGGACTCTACCTGAAGTCTGAAATGTTACCGTCCACACTTATTGGCTCAGGACCTTTACCACCTGATTTTCCTGTACATGAAAATGAAATCTTGGAAGAGCAAAGAAGTGACATGAGAACCAAAAGATATTTCAAATCATCATATTATGAGTAGTGATAGCAAACATTTTGGAGGCTGCTTTGTGCAGAAGTAAACAAAAAGTGCCAATATAATATATTTTGGTGATGATGTGCAGACATGTTGATGACAACAATTTATATGGTATATATTACAGCAACCTTTGTGCCTTCAAAATGGCTGTACTGTCTGGGGGAGTAATGCTGAAATAATTGTGTCCCTGTGATGAACAAAGAATTGAGTGTAGCTTGTGTTTCTTCGCCACTTTACATGTAGCCTCAAATGCCAAATGTGGTAGATCATATATCAGTCTAGTCAGTTCCAGCTCCAGGTTTTGGTGGAGTGGGGAAGCTTGAGCAGAGTGTGCTCTCACTTGGGTTTTAGCTTACATGAGGGGAAGAGGCTGTTCTGTCTCCTCACTCTTTTCATGTTTCACATGCTTGGGGCTGTGAAGGGGAACAGAGAGTGGCAGCAAGGAAGAGCAGGGCCACGAGGCTCCCTGAAAGAGCAGTGAGGTCCTGCAGGGCTGCAGACTTTTGCAGATGCCCAACCAAACTATGCCTGATGCCAGCCCTGTTTCTAGGAGAGCATTCTCCCCCCTGTTAAAAAGTCTGACAATTTATCTTCTAGGAAGCTCACAGGTGACGTAAGGGAACACTTATAATTTATCTTTGGCATCTGGTGGTGGGAGTTATATTGATATTGGACAAGGGGATTGCCATATTTTTCATAAATCTTTGACAATAGCTGGACCAATCCATATCAATTCCATTAATCCTTTCCATTAATTAATTATTTTGGTAAGTTGGTTATGAATTGGGCCTGTAAAAAGTCTCACTTTGCCTAAATTATGTGTTATAGAGCAGGGCATGTATTGTCATTTTGCACAGTTTTAAACTTTTCCCTTAGGTCACATCTGTGTCAGGAGTTTGCTTGTTTAATAGGTCAGATGTGCATCTGGCACCCATCCAACCCTACATCAGCCCGCAATGAGTCCACAGTTGTTGCGTTATTAGAAGAGCAAATGACCCTTTAATATCCATGAGATGTACTCCTATGTAGGTGTGTTTAGCATAGCCAAAATTAATTAGAGCATTGGACTAGGAACAGGAAGACCCAGATTAAATTCCCCGCTCAGCCATGAAGATCATGAGTAACTTTGGTCTAGTTATTCTCTGTCAGCCTGGGCTACTTCACAGAATTGTGAAGATAAAACACAGCATGAGGCTGTGGATAGAACTTTGTTAACCACATTTGGAAGAAGGGCAAGGTATACACAAAATGAAGTAAAAATAGATCAACAATAACTGCAAATTTCATTTATTGACACCCAATTTCATTTCAACTTAAATGAAGTGTGCTCTTTTTGTCTCTTTGTTTTCATTGGCTGCATTCCTTGATTGCTACAACTCCAAAGGCAATGTCATCCATAAAAGTTGAGTGTGTTGTGCAAAAGAATTGCAAGATTGGAGAATCACCCTTATGGGAAGAAAAGGAAAATTCACTTCTTTTTGTGGACATATCTGGTAAAAAGGTCCATCGATGGAATTCCCTTACTAAGGAAGTGCAAAGTGTTTCTGTGGGTAAGAAACATATTTCAAAAGTCTAATTTGGTTTGTGTTTGCTTTTGCATTCATAACAGAATATTTTTGATCTTAAAAATTAGGTGTTTGAAATTACTATTGTTAAATCTTTAGCAATTATTTGGAGGAAGACACTCATGTAGTTGTTGTTTTCCATCTGCTAGCTCTGTGTCACATGGCACAGAGGCTTCAGGGCTTCTTGATCTGAGGTAATATCATTCAACAAAAATCCCCCAAGAGGTATATGTATGCTAGTACTATGTTTTTTATACTATTGTTTCCCCTTGGAACATGCTTTCTAGATGCTCCCGTGAGCTCTGTAGCTCTTCGCAAATCTGGTGATTATGTTATTACCATGGGAACCCAATTTGCTGCTTTAAACTGGAAAACGAAGTCTGTTACCACCATTACTTACGTTGACAAGGATAAACCCAATAACCGATTCAACGATGGAAAAGTGGATCCTGTAGGAAGACTGGTTGCAGGTGGGTTGGTCATCACATACATTCTTGAGTATTTTTATTCTTAACAAATTAGTGATTTTGTAGATCACTGGTCAGCAGCTGTTAAGTCCTGTCCATGGCCCAGTCCATGGCTGGCCATGTTGTTACCTGTCGAGGGGAAAAGGGAAAAGGACTGGAATTCAGAGGTCCAACAAAATGTCGAACAGCTTCTATCCTAGCCTATACACAATAACTCTACCTTCTAACTGCAGAGGATATGCAGGATGCCACAGCTCTCTTGAGCACTGAAAAAGAGCAGCCTGAGAGAGAAACAAAAGTTCTTGTAGTGGCCCATCTCCCAGTCCCTGGAGCCACCGTTAACTCCAGGTGCCAGCCCGGAGTTCTTGAGGCCAATTCTGGCAGTTCTCACCTCCTTAACACAGGAGGGAGGATGATGTCTCTCAAAGGCCTTGGGCAGCAGATTCCCCCTGGGCTGGCACCTGGTACTTCCAGTATTTTTTCAGTTCCTAGATTAAAGCCTTCTGGAGCCTGGAAAGCTGGTTTATGTTACATACTCATATTGGTCCATCCAGCCCAAGACTTGGGACATAAAATGGCAGAGTCTCACCAGGGCCCTAGACAGATTCTTGTCTAGCACTACCTGATGGTGTTGGGGATCAAACTTGGTGCCTTTTGCATATGAAACATGCGCTCTGTCATGCTGAGCTATGGTCCCTCCCTTGGTTACAGCAGAGCTGATGGACTGGGCTGTGTCGTACCTTACTTTGCTTCCAGGTTTGAACAAGAAAGAGGGGGTAGGTGATGCAGAGGGATGGCTCAGCAGCTTTTGTGAACCCTGAAATTCTTTCACCATTTGTGCATCTTGGTATTCCAGTGGTGCAGCTAAGTAACTTAAAACCCTGTTCTTACCAGCAATATGGATTGTATCACTTGTGAACAACACAGCTAACATTTCTCTTCATCATTCCCCAACTGCTTTCCATGTTTTACAACTGCTTCTGTGTTCATGAACATGTTCTGGATGGCCATGGGGAACTGTAACTCAGGTTCTGTCAACCTAGTGAAGAATTTCTGCATTTTTTAAATTGCGTCTTAGGAAAGTTATGTTAGAACCTCTGTCCTTTGTTCAATAGGAGACCTACACTATTGTGATACCACATCTTTGGCATTCTATTGTCTTTGCATACCAATAACTTGTACTTCTTGTAGGTACAATGGCTGAGGAGATTCGGCCTGCAGTTTTAGAGAGGCAACAGGGATCCCTTTACACCATCTTCCCTGACCATTCTGTAATTAAACACTTTGATAAGGTGGACATCTCCAACGGTCTGGATTGGTCGCTGGATCACAGAACGTTCTTTTACATCGATAGCCTTTCCTACTGTGTGGATGCATTTGACTATGATCTTCAAACTGGAAAGATGTGTAAGGCTACCTTTCATATTTTGAGACCCTTAAAATTTATAAGACATTTATAGCTTTCTCACCACGTATTGATCAAACTTCTCATACCTACATATCGGCTATATACTAACACTTGTAACCGCATGTGTGTTATTTCTTGAAATAACTAAATTTTTAAAGGTTTTTTTTTTTTTTTTTTACTATATGTTAAAAGTGTTAGTCTGTCAATTACGTAGACATGAAGTAATAGCAAGCACAGTGGAATAGTTTGTTTTCATGCAGAAGAATGGGTAAATGTAGGAGAGAGTGGCATCTTACTTAAAGAAGAGTATTAGCCTTTCCTATAAAATATTTCTGAGGCCTTTACAGAGCAGGACATTTCTTTTTCTGTCTTGCTTTATGCCATGGACTCCATGGCAGTGTTCATAAAGTTTCCAGGTAGTCTCACATCCAAGTCACCAAGTTTTAGCAGGGCTTTTGAATCCCAATTCTTTGACCACCATAGAAAGGTTAAGTACTTTGCCTTTAAAGAGCAACTGCCTAGGGCTTTTACTTTCAGACTATGCCTAGTATATGATCAATTCGCACTGGTTAGGCCGGATCTGGAATACTGCATCCTCTTCTGGGAATCAGAAGATGCAGACAAACTGGAAAGCATTCAGAGGAGGGCAACAAGAATGATCCAGGAACTGGAAACAAAGCCCTGTGAGGAGAGATTGAAAAAATTGGACATGTTTAGAGAAGTCCTCTCTTGAGAAGAGAAGACTTGAGGAGAGATATGATAGCACTTTTGAAATACTTTTGAAATACTTGAAAGGTTGTCACACAGATGAGGATTAGGATTTCTTTCATTCCAGAGTGCAGGACACAGACTAATAGACCGAAATTACAGGAAGCCAGGTTCCAGGTGAACATCAGCAAGAACTTCCTGACTGTTACAACAGTACAACAGTGGAACCAGTTACCTTCTGGGCTCTCCTGCACTGGAGGCACTCAAGATGCAACTGGACAGTCATCTGAGTGGGATGCTAAAACTTGGATTCCTGCACTGAGCAGGAGGTTGGATCCAATGGCCTTCTGGCCGCTTCCAACTCTACTACTTTATAATTCTATAAGAATGGCTTGTGAAAAAATTAAGAGGAGAATGCAGAGAAAACTATGGAATATTTTCACATAGTGTTACTTAATTTGATCCTCCATGTAGGGTTAAAAGGGTTATGTAGTACAGGAATAGGTTCCTTAGTGCCACATTTATATGATAACATTTATATAATTGAGATATGCAACACAGACTAATATGAATGATAATCTGAGATAAAGATAAATTTCAGGTTTGGTTACAGAAATATCTTCTCTAGGAAATTAAATCTGGAAGGTATACTGAGTGTACCTGTTGTTGAGAAAATTAGTTCCTTGTATATTGAGCAAAACTTTACAGCAAAATCCCATGCATATTTCCACAGAAGTAAAATCTTCTGTATTCAATGATAAGTCCTTGCTGGTAGGTGTGTTTAGTATTGCAACCTTAGCTGTGTAAGTCAAAAGCAGTATAAAACTGTTTCCTAAGGTACAGTCTATCTGAAGTTAGGTAATTGTTTATAGGGGACATGTGTAAAACACACACACACACACACACACACACACACACACACACACTTTTCAGTTTGCTTGAAAATGCGTTTTGATGACCACAAGCATGTTTCTTGTTCTTGTCTGCATTTGTCCTCTCAGCTGAGGCCTGAGTGCCTTAGCGCAAAAACACATTTCATGTATGGGCCTATTAAGTAACACTTTGTAAGCATTTAACAGCAGTTGTAGCACTAAATATACCTATGTGGAAAGTCACTATCTATCATCCCAGGAGTAAGGTTTGACTCTGAATACAAACATTTCAGCATTTCATTTTACAATTTAAAATAGCAGTTTGCCTAAATCCTAACAGCCTCTTTTCAGATACCAATTCTAACATGCAGAATCTGTCAAGATGCTCCTTCATATGGGACTGACAACTAGTTAATGTTTAGCTGTTTAATCACCTGTCTTTAACTAATTTATGTATTTATTTGGAGTTTTAATTAACTAATTAACCAATCAGAGAGAAAAGACTGACTGCCAGGCATGGCTGGTGTGAGAGACAGTTGGTCCTTTAATATGGGATGGTCTGCCCTCTATAGAAGAGCAATGAGCTTTGTGTGGTTTTTTTTCCGCCAGGGGAATTCCTCCTGGGAATTTGAGAGCTCTTTTGTGCAATGGTGACCTGCATTTTCCAGCATTGTTAGCTCTTGGGACTTTCTCCAGACTGATAATTCAGCTAAGATTTGGGGAACTGAAGGATTATGGTTTTGTTCATCTTGTCATCAGCAGGAAGCTGTAATAGGGCCTTTGGCTTTGCTTTGTCAGGCATACTGCCAGCAGCTTGGTCCTGTAATTTAATAATTGAGCTGGACAAAACATAATGCAACATGGTATAGGGCATAATTCCATTGGGCCAATTATGCCAATTCGCCATTATGCTTCTATACCACCTTTTACTACTTCCCTTTAAATGCTGTTTTAAAGTCTTATTTGATGCTTTTAGATTGTGAACTGTGCTCCTCCCCTGTGCATTGCAGCTTTTGAATGGTCAGCCCATATCAGCTTCTGAGATGGAGAACACCTGTTGATGTGCAAAGCATTTAATGTGTGGTGTAGTACATGATTCGTGTCAACTTCTTTCTGCAGCCAACTGCAGGAATATGTACAAGTTAGAAAAGGAAGAGCATATCCCTGATGGGATGTGTATTGATGCAGAAGGGAAGCTCTGGGTGGCCTGTTACGATGGAGGAAGAGTGTTACGCATCGACCCTGAGACTGGTAAGCAGTTGCAAAGAGGGTGAATGAAAGAAACTTTGTTAAGGAGTCCTTGGGAATCGGGTCCTTGTGCCATTTCAAACATTTCCTTAAGACTTACTTGGATGCATGCTTTATTTAATACCCCAGTGGGTGCAATCCAACAATATTATTGTTCAAAGTGATTGTTATCAGAAACTGTCTAACTTTTTCGATGTGGATTGATATCCACAACAAACATGGCATTTTTCAGTTTCCAAGAGATGTGTATTTGCTCAGTGGTGGAGAGACCTGCACACACACTTGGACATTTTTCATTTAGCAAGTTATTTTCCTTAAACAAGAAAGTTTTTAAAAGCACACCGGATTAATATATGGCCCAATACACCACAAGGATTTGACCTGAAACTTTTGAGGGAAAACATAATTCTATGTTATGTAGAATTTTTTATTGGAGTACTGTAAAGACAATAGCATGTACTTTCTTACATAGTTTACATTTAAAGAAGGTATTGAAAAAGATCAGGTGGCAGATAGTGCAGAAGACTCCTTCCTAAGATCCTGGGAAGAATACACTGGGCTGGATGAGCAAAGAATCTGGTCTGATATAAGGCAGCTTGTGATGTTTCACATTGTAATTCGTCTCTTCCATATTGCCAGCAATCAGTGATCAAAGATCAACACACATTGCCAACAATTGCTAAGATTTGGTTTGTGTGGCATGGCAGCTCATTATGGATACAGTTGTGTCATGCAAACACAGGGTGGCTTGTTTCGGAGAAGCAAGCTACTCTGTCAAATCATGGCTTGTTGTAGAGGTTGTTGGGCCCATGATGTGTGAGTGTGTCTGAACCAGATATACCGATTCCATTGTACTTTCAGGGAAGAGCTGCTTAGTGTGGAAAAACCCCCTTTTGTCATGGAACTGGCATATTCAAAACACCCTCTTTTGCCTTGTTAACATGTTTGAAAAAGAAAGACTTACCTGGGGCAACTGTCAAAAGTCAATGCTTATGTAACTGAGGTGCCTTTCATTTTTCTGCTTTTCTGAGCACCTGGAGTCTTGGGAAGGCTGGAAAAGGCAGAGAACACCGACAGCTATAAAACGGAATCTTAAAACCTAAAAAATCTCATTGTAAAGTGGGTGTTCTACTTTTACTATTCTACAAGCAAAGGTCATCTTGTAGTTTTGCTTTCATTTGACCATCTGTTGAGCGCACTGTGACTGTTCCACAAACAACCTTCACTGTGAACTCCTTCACATTGTCAGTTGTGCACATTCAAGCCTAGTCTTTCTTAAAGGTGTACATTAACATTTAAATCATGGTGAATACTGGCAAGAGTACCCTGTTTGTTCTACCCATGCGTGTAGGGTTTTGTTTATTGCTTTTTAAAGAAATCTGCTGCTTTAAAAGTTGAGCACTTCTTTTTCCCAACTCTTGACATATATGCCTCTTATTTGTGTTGTTTTAAATATGTATGTATGTATGTTTGATTCCACTTCTATGATGCCCTATAACCCAAAGGTTCTCTGGGCAGCTTATAATGCTAGGAAAAAGTGATGAATGGCTATGAATTCAAATTGAAGATTATTTTACAGCAGCAAAGTTGCTTCTGAATCATTACTTTGGGATTCAATTTAGTGCTATAATTTTTGTAGGACTACCATGGAAATGTTAAACTGATAGACATTAGCCTTAAGAATTTGTATTTTAATAGGAAAACGAATCCAGACTGTGCAGCTGCCTGTTGATAAAACTACCTCCTGTAGTTTTGGTGGAAAAGATTATTCAGAGTTGTTTGTCACATCTGCTTGCCAAGGAATGGATGAGGCTGGCCTGTCACAGCAGCCCCAGGCTGGTGGCATTTTCAAGGTAATTAGAGCGTTTCCATGCATTTTAATGGGTGCTGTGTGTGCTCTGGCAGAGCGGTGTTTGGAACCAAATATAAAACACTTATTAATTTTCTCCTTCTGGGAAATATGAACAAAGTGCATTTAAAAATGTAAACATACAGACTAGTTACATCTGTGAAGCATTTTAATATAGGATAAAATATCACTGAAACCTTCTGTTTTTAAAAAATAACTTTTAAATGCTCATGATTTAACAAGACCAGAACTCCTACTGGATTTTTTTTTGCTTGTTTGCAGTTTTGTTTTAAGTGGGTTTGGACGAACAAAAGTAATTATCTTAACTTGGATACTAGTGCACATTTGGCTTTGAAAAAAAGGGGTTATCATGTTTATGTTCTTACCTTTTCAACAGATAACTGGACTTGGGGTGAAAGGAATCCCACCATATTTATATGCAGGTTAATCTTGAAGACGAGCATCAATATCAGGAAAGGCGAAACTGTGAAATGTGTAAGCATGGTTGGGAATCTATTGATCTTTCCTTGGAGACTATAGAGAGTTGGCCGATATGAAAAATAGAACTCAGCAACACTAATTTTTAAAAAGATTTGTATCTAGTCAAATTGGCAGTTTACTGGTACCAACTTGGGAAACGCATTTTCTAATTACTTTTCTTTCCTAATAAAGTTTGAAATATTTTGAAAGCTAGAACTTTGTAGCTAGCATACCCATCTTTGTCTTGATTTTCTTTCCAAAACATTTAACTGTAACATGACAGATGCAATGTTTTTTGGTAACTGATTGCTTTAACTTAATGATTTTGCTCAAGTTATTGAGATCTCAACTTTGGTTATGTAACATTTCAAAAAGTTTTCACGTACCTACTCTGAGCAAGGTAATTTATACATCTTAAAACAGAGATGCACCATTGTGGCCTTCCACTATTTCTACATAATCCTGTCTCTGCCACTGATTTCATGAACTAAGGAAGCAATAATATATTCTTGCCTTGTGCGTTGAGTTCATACTGTCTTTCCAAGATATCTGAAGTATCCACAAAATACTTCAACATCTAAATAGATAACCACAGACTCCCTCAGCTAAGCTTTTTTCCCCACAGTTAGTGCTGATCCTCCAGTTTCTCCTGGCCTAGTTTTCCTGTGCTCTCTCCAAGGTCAGCTTCCTCTGGAGTGCCCTCTGGGTGAATCTTTTCATCTCAGAGATTTTGAAAGGTCCCCTGTGTAGTGCTAAAAGTGCCTGGCATTCTGTTACTCTCTTAGCATTGTAACTGGAATTGGGAGGAGATCTAGTTTGGGCAAGAGTAACTTTGGACAAAAACTTTTACAAAGTGCCCCATGACATTCTGATCAGTGAACTGGTTAAAAGTGGGCTAGATGGAAGAACTATCAAGTGAACCCACAGCTAGCTACAGAATCAGACTCAAAAGCGCTTCTCAATGTTACCTCTCCCCTAGTTCGAGAGGGTGTCGAGTGGGTTACCACACTGCTCAGGCCTGGGATCAGTACTCTGCAGCATTTTTATTAATGACTTAGGCAAGGAGATGCAGGGTATGCTGATCAGATATTTGGGATAGCTGATACCTGGAAGACAGAAGCAAAATTGAAAGTGATCTTGTTAGGCTGGAGCACTGGGCTGAAAGCAACAGAAAGCAAAATGCTAAGATCTACCCCTAGAAAAAGAAAAACAAATGAAGTTACAGGATGGGGAATACTTGGCTCAACAGTACTACAAGTGGGAAGGAACTTTGAATTGTTAATCACAAGGTGAATCTGTGTCAACAAGGTATTAATATAAGTATTGGCTGGAAATCACATGAGGTGCTGGTTCCCCTCCATTTGGCACTAGTTAGGTTGTATCTTGATAGGTTATCCAGTTCTAAGCATCACACTTCAAGAAGGATGTGGACCAGCTGGGGAGTATTCTGAGGAAAGCAACAAGGATGATTCTGCATCTGGAAACAAAGCCCTATGAAGAGAGCCTGAAAGAACTGGGCAAGTTCAGTATGGAGAACATTTTTCAGATCCTTGAAAGGCTGTCACACAGAAAAAGACAAGGATCTCTTCTCAGTCATGTCAGAGTGCAGGACACAAAATAATGGTCTCAAGTTATAGGAAGCCAGATTCCAGCTGGTCAACAGGAAATCTTTCTCACTGTTACAGCAGCGTGACAATAAAATGAATTTATTTTATTTATTTATTAAAACATTTCTATGCCGCCCCATTCGCCGAAGCCTCGGGGCGGCTCACAACATAAAGTTAAAATACAAAAAATAACAATATAAAATAAGTCGCCCTGGCCAGATAAAATAAGCATAATATTAACAATTAAAATGACGCTTAAAGAAAAAGGTCTTCACCTGGCTCCAAAAAACAAATAACGACGGCGCCAGGCGGACCTCTCTGGGGAGCGCATTCCATAGATTGGGCGCCACCGCAGAGAAAGCCCTCCTCCAAGTACCTACCCTCCTAATTTCTTTCACGGAGGGTTCCCGGAGAAGGGCCTCTCCCGCAGATCTCAAGGGGTGGGCGGGCATATATGGATGTAAGCACTCCTTCAGGTAACCAGGACCCAAGCCGTTTAGGGCTTTATAGGTCATCACCAACACCTTGAATTGGGCCCGGACTTCAATGGGAAGCCAGTGAAGCTGACGGAGGACTGGAGTCATGTGAACATAACGCCCAGTCCCCGTCAGCAGCCTGGCAGCTCTATTTTGAACCAATTGAAGTATCTGGACCGTCTTCAAGGGTAGCTCCACGTAGAGTGTGTTACAGAAGCCAAGGTGGGAAGTCACCAGCGTGTGTGTCACTGTCGCCAGGCAGTCATACTCCAGGTAGGGGCGCAGCTGATGAATCAGCCGAAGCTGAAGGAAAGTGCTCCTCGCCACTGCTGTCACCTGAGCTTCCAATGAAAGCTCCGGGTCGAGGAGCACTCCCAGGCTGCATACATAAGGAGTTCATGGGCAATTCCACACTGGAGGCACTCAGGATCTAGTTAGCCCGCCACCTGTCAGGGATTGTTTGAGTCCTGCACTGAGCAAGGGAAATGGACCTAATGGCCTTATAGGCCTCTTCCAACTCTATAATTCTATGAGTCTAACTGCAGGTGCACAGTGTGGTCAGGTGATCATGCTGGCAGCAGGGTATTTAGCCCTGTATCTTCACCGGAATAGGGTTAGGCCCTTCTGCATCCCCAGTCACTTAGTTTGTGGGGCATTGGCTTTTTACAAATCACAGCCCATCAGACAATGTTGGAGGCCTTTCATTGCCAATGGGGGTGCACACTAAGGCTCCCCCATCTTGTCACAAAGACTTTCTAAAGGAATAGTTTAGAAAGTATATGCCTTCTCCAGCATTCAACTATCAGCCCCAATCTGAACTCGTTCTACCAGAGCAAGGGTGATCTCCACAGCTTTACATGCCAGAGTATCTCTCTTTGATTTCTAAGAGCTACAGCCTGGTCAAATCCCTTGGCCTTTGCTTGCCATTATTGACCTGTCTGTGCCTTCAGCAGAGCTGTCCTCTCTTCTCTACTCAATTGATTAACCTTCCTCTGAGAGGTAAGTTGACAGTCGCCTGTATGTGTGATGCAGCGACCACGAAGAATAAAGGCAGATTGCTTACCTGTCACTGTCATTCTTCAAGTGATCATTTCTGCATTCACACAACCCACCTGCCACCCCACTAGTGCCATATTTTGCCCTGGGTTAGAGATGTCTCCTAAGGGGATAGGAAATAAAAAGATAGCAGTCTTTTTATTTGAACTGAGATTTCAGTGGGAGCCCCTCCCTGCACGCCGAGTGTGCCCAGGAGCTGGGCTCCCACCAGATAATAATTAATCAGCTCTGGAATCTTCCTGAATTAGCTCCATGCATGTGAACACAGCCTGTATGTGTGAATGCACAGATGACCATGTGAAGAACAACAGTTACAAGTAAGCAACCTGCCTTTCATACATATCTGCATAAAAACCATAATACATATACACATATACATATGGGAAAGGTCAAGTCATGGATGAGGGATGATTTATTGTGGACCGACCTGGCATTAAGCAGCAGCACCGACAGGCCCGGGGGGTGGTTATATTATGATGACTATACTCACCACTTCAAGATAGATTTAAAAGCAGCTGCAAATGGGATTGGTTAACATGACACATGAGCCCGCCATGTAAATAAGCTATGCAGCATGTGTTGTTCATGGAATAATTCCTAGTCATTTGATATTTGATTAGGCTTACTGTGCGTTGTCCCTGACCTGCTCCCCAAGTCCTTCGGCGGTCTTTTCTTCCCCTTCCACCTTTGATTGCAACCTCATCCTTGCCCTGTCCTCCTTTTCTGGAACTTGCGCTGCTTCACTGATGCGAAAGACACTTTGGAGTGACTGTCATGGGATTGTCATCCTTTTCCTTGAGTGAGGGAGGGTGGCACAAATGCCTTAGTAATTAACAAAACAAAACAGCAGTAATACACACTAACACAAATTACCAAACATTGCAACCAACTACAAGAAAGTATCACCCACTCCTCCCCACTAGCACACACTGCCCCAAATTACCACCAACTAATGCCCTCTGCCACACACGATCATGCACTGCCACCCGCTAACAAACTACCAACCACTGCTGCCAAATTTCACGAGCTACCACCAAGTACCACCCATGCCACCTACTATCCCAAACCACCACCCGGTGTCACACAACCAACCACGCCTACAAACTAGTGCCCACTACCCTACAGCAGGACTTACCACCAAACACTTCTAACCACGACTGCCAATGACTACCCACTAACACACAGTCACCCACTACCCCAAACTACCACCCACTACCCCAAACTACCACCCACCACCCCACAACCACCAGCTACCACACGGTACATCTTACTACCGCTCTCTACCATGCACTACCACTAATGACCTCCCTGTATTCCAAACTACCATCTATTACCCCAACTACCGCACGCCAAGACCAACGACCACTCACTACTGTAAACTACCACGGTCCTCCCAATGAACATTTACTACCACCAAGTATCACTCACTAACAGCTGCTACCACAAATTACCACACATGACCACCCTGTACCACCCCATATCCCCCATTATTACCAACTTTCAACCACTACCACCTACTACCAGCCATTTCCACCAACTACCGTCCCCTGGCACCCACTACTATCAACAAACAACCAACAATGAACCAACAATCAACATGAAGCGATCAACAAGCAAACCCACAACAAAACAACTAACAATTGTCACCAAGCATCAAAACAACCAACGAACCAACATCAATCAACCAAGCATCAACTAACCAACAGCAGAATAACCAATCAACACAACCACCATTAAGCACCAACCATCAAAACACATTTTAATTAAATAATTGCCATAAACCTCTGTTTTGCATGTTTTACTGTATTTTATTGTTGTTTTTAATATATAATATGTTATGGGTTTTTATCGCCCAGAGGTGCTGTGGCACAATTAGGTGGCATACAAATGCTTTAAATAAATAAGAAAAACAACAAAGAAAAGAAAGCAAACTAAATAACAAAGCAACAAGCATGCAACAAACATTCAGCAATCACGAACATTCAACAAACAAAAACCAACCAAACAAACCAAACAAAACTCAAAAACAAAAAGCAGAAAAAACAAATTTACAAAACCACATGCAAAACAAAGC